TGAGAGTTGTGTAGGAGGTTTATAGAACACTTTGTGAGAGTTGTGTAGGAGGTTTATAGAACACTTTGTGAGAGTTGTGTAGGAGGTTTATAGAACACTTTGTGAGAGTTGTATAGGGGGTTTATAGAACACTGTGTGAGAGTTGTGTAGGGGGTTTATAGAACACTGTGTGTGAGTTGTGTAGGGGGTTTATAGAACAATGTGTGAGAGTTGTGTAGGAGGTTTATAGAACACTATGAGAGTTTTGTAAGAGGTTTATAAAACACTGTTTGGGAGTTGTGTAGGAGGTTTATAGAACACTGTGTGAGAGTTGTGTAGGGGGTTTATAGAACTCTTTGTGAGAGTTGTGTAGGAGGTTTATAGAACACTGGTTGCTATACTCACCATGCTGACATGCCAGAGTGATGATCTTGATTAATCTTTCTACCAATGCCACATTGTAATGGTCTTTTGTCTGAGTCATAAAATCAACCTGTTAGCTTATGGCTTCTATGTTTCATGTCTGCTACGTATACTGCAGACATTTTTTCATTTTCTGATCATTTTTTAGAAAGAGACTAACGATAATTGTTAAATAATGTATGACTTAGCTTAATTACTTGTAAATGTAAAATCATTAAAATACATACAGGCACATCTACCATAAAATCATTAAAATACATACAGGCACATCTACCATAAAACCATAGTTGAAGTTTGTAATGAGAATGTTTTGAGTTCAGAGAGATGCAAAAAAAAAGCATATACATCCTATTTAGTGTTTCTTAATTAACGGTTGTGCTATGATTAGAGGCTATAATAATTTTTAAATAATTGTTTTCTTATAAATTTCTTAGCTGTGCCTTAGTTTGTAGCCAATTTCTCATAATGGTGCCAGATTGTATTTGTTAAATTTAATTTCATGATACACAACTTATATATATATTATAGATTGTTAAAATGATTTCACTGATTCAGACTTGTAAAGGGGATAACCAAATACGAAAAGAAAGCTCACCTCACACTTCTCGGTCGGCATGAGAACAGTATCCATTAAACCTTGGTGAAGACCTGTAAAAGTAAAACATTGTTTTTAATCTTTAGAATCAACTTTTCTGTATTCTAAAAACCTCCAAATAGAATTTCGCAATGATTGTTTTTTTATCATTCTAAATTTTCCTAATCCAGGTACATCTGTTTTTTATCATAAAGCCCATTTTCCTTTTAATAAAAGCAAATCCAATATATTCAATTACTGTAAATCAAATGAACTTACTTTTTATAAAGAAGATAATACAATTTACTTAAAGTATAGTCTGGTTAAATCGAGCTGTGGTTTAAAACACATTTCACATAACTTACATAACATATGTAATGACTAATTATTATAATTTTAGAGTAAGAAGCATATATAATTTGAAAAACAAAATTGTCCCAATTTTCATACACAAATGTTTTAACAGGGATAAAATTTGACTCCATTGGTAAAATAAAACCACACAGTTACTGTATACCAGGACATTTCCGTGGTAGTTAACTTTCACCCATTTCACTCTCGGCAGTGAGGCTTAGTTCATCATGGCAGCTTTAGTTTTCATACTGCATACCATATATATGGTTATTATTGAATGAAAGTGGGGAAAATTTATACAGGACAAATAAGGATTTTACGGGGAGGGCAGATATATAACTAGGCCAAAGTTTTCTGGTATACAGAAAATAAATCATGGAAGCAAATTTTGACCTTTCAAGCAAGATGTTTCAATAAACTAATCTACTGCCATTTATCCAATCTCACAATAGCATTACAATCAGTTAAAACAGAAATTAAATAGCCAATAAAACAAACCCACATACAGGGAAAATCTCAACAACATGACGACCAAAAAAAAAACATAACTTACCGAAAGCATTCAAATTATCTAAATCAATATTTAAACATTTGAACATAACATAGAGCAACACATGTACAACATACACTCTGACACACCTACAACATACAAAGTGACACACCTACAACATTCACTCTGACACACCTACAACATATACTGTGACACACCCACAACACACACTGTGACACACCTAAAACATACACTGTGATACACCTACAACATACCCAGTGACACACCTACAACATACACACTGACACACCTACACCATACACAGTGACACACCAACAACATACACAGTGACACCCCTACAACATACACAGCAACACTCCCACAACATATACACAGACACACCTACAACATACACAGTGACACACCTACAACATACACAGTGACACACCCACAACATTCACAGTGACACACCTACAACATACACAGTGACACACCTACAACATACACTGTGATACACCCACAATATACACTGACACACCTACAACATACACTCTGACACACCTACAACATATACTGTGACACACCTACAACTAGCCTGGCGGCCTCGGGCAAACAGTTCCCCAGGGCTTCCCCCTACCTCGGGATGATAGTTTTGACTGTTCCCCAAATAGCCATGAAACAATTGTATACTGTGACACACCTACAACATACACTGTGACACACATACAACATACACAGCAACACATGTACAACATACACTGTGACACACCCACAACATACACTGTGACACACCCACAACACACACTGTGACACACCCACAACATACACAGCAACACACGTACAACATATACTCTGACACACCTACAACATACACAGCAACACATTTACAACATACACTCTGACACACCTACAACATACACAGCAACACATTTACAACATACCCTCTGACACACCTACAACATACACTGTGACACACCTACAACATACACTGTGACACACCTACAACATACACAGTGACACACCTACAACATACACAGCAACACATGTACAACATACACTCTGACACACCTACAACATACACATCAATACACCTACAACATACACTCTGACACACCTACAACATACACTGTGACACACCCACATCATACACTGTGACACACATACAACATACACAGTGACACACCTACAACATACACAGCAACACATTTACAACATACACTCTGACACACCTACAACATATACTGTGACACACCTACAACATACACTGTGACACACCTACAACATACACTGTGACACACCTACAACATACACAGTGACACACCTACAACATACACTCTGACACACCTACAACATACACTGTGATACACCTACAACATACACTGTGACACACCCACATCAAACACTGTGACACACCTACAACATACACAGTGACACACCTACAACATACACTCTGACACACCTACAACATACACTGTGACACACCTACAACATACACTGTGATACACCTACAACATACACTGTGACACACCCACAACATTCACAGTGACACACCTACAACATTAACATGCATATACTATACCCTCTGAGTACAGCCAAGATAGTGGACAGACAGTGATACATGTTATATAGGTGACTTGTCAGTATTGTACTTAACTATCAGTAGTCTATCTCTCTATACGGCGATACTTGTTATATAGGTGACTTGTCAGTATTGTACTTAACTATCAGTAGTCTATCTCTCTATACAGTGTATCATGATACTAATGGAAATATACTTCAAATAAGTAGGAAATCTGTCTAATGTAGAGCAAATTTCTGAGTGACCATTGACTGTTCAAATACATATCCTTCCCCATTATACCATTATTTCAGAAATCTGCCTAAATATGAAATTTATTCTGTTAAATTTACCAGGTATATATGTACATAATGCATGAAGGTAAGTTTTCAAACACACATTACATGTATTTAATTATATATTTGTTGTTCCCTTGTGATATATCCTAGCATTATAAATAATTTAATTATAAATTTGTTATTCCCTTGTGATATATCCAAACATTAAACTAAAGCTGTCCTAGGTCACACAATACTGAGTTGTAAGATATTCACACCTGCCTTACCACCTGTACCTTGTGAGTCAGACCAGGAAATTTAAAGTTGTTGATAGTGTTTTTTCTACCTAAACTATACAACTGCCCATTCTTATGTAAATATGGCAAATATATCGGGAAGATATTTATGATTTTTTTATTCCTCATTTTGGAAAATAAAGCCCTTCTTTGCTCGAAGAATCATGTATCTGGCTGTAAAAGTAGGCAAAACATCACTTGTTTCCCACACACTTCAATGTCTTAAATATCCCATGCGTAAAGTAGTCGACCTGCATGACCCAAAATGCTAGGTCCCAGTATGATGAAAAGATTCATATTTTTAGAAATCTGTGTGGACAAGTTTCACATCTGTGATATACCAACACATGATACCACACACAAGTTATGATCAATTATAGGCCTGTTGTTGGATTGCATGGTAACTTAAATGTATACTGTTTTAATTCATTTAAATGTTGACTGCAATTTATCACACTTTGGATCTATAAATTATAAAAATGTAACCAAACATAATAATGAGACCAGGTAAACCTGATATCAGAAACTGGTTCAATTGATCATCGTTCATCGTGATTTAACAGTATATGTCTATTGCCTATAAACATGTTTAATAACTATTTCTATTGCAATATAAACTACACACAATCTTTACCTGTCATATAATGTATCCTAAAAATAACACTCTTTGAAAGAAGTTACCCTCGCCTGACATTTTATATTTTTACAATCGATTTTTATCAAATTTTATTGAAATTTTTTAAGTGTTTATGATGACAATGGACCATAGTATGTCAACAAATGTCAAGTGTTTACCTCAAATTAGAACATGCAAAATAATACATGAAAACTGAAATCCTTCAACTAAAATGTAACATAATCATGTTATTGTGCAATGACCTGCATTGCTGGTGCAATTTCAAGCGTTTCTATTGGTCATCACCTGCAATGAGGTTTTGAAAACTTGACCGGTAAGGGTACTAACTCATGCCTAGCCACATAAGCGTGTTATAAGTAGTAAGCTGTGTGGTATATACTAGCTGACTGGTCGTGCTCTCACTACAACTTACCATCATTGTGTCCCATGGCGTATAACAGACAAAGTCCAAACAGAGCCTCATAGTCATTCTCTGTACACTCCAATGCATTGAAGATGGATTCTAAATATGGCCTGGAAAAAAAGTTTATAATCATCCAAAGTAATTTAAATTCATAACTTTGACACTACAGACTAACAAGAGGCCCATGGGCCTTAACGGTCACCTGAGTCCTACAGTATTTATTTTTGTTGTTGAAATATGTACCAATTTGAGTAAAAAATAGTTAAGTATAACGTTAACTTAAGTTTGTCAGGACCATGAGCTGATCATTCCTAGACCATGTTTCAGTTAAACCGGTCTATTAGAACTTGTTAAGTTTGAAATCGTTATTTTCAAAATAGCAGCCTGGTGAAATAGTTATTTTCAAAAGCGGCCATGGCAGCCAAATTGTATTTCTGATCGACCCAAAAAAGAACAACACTTTGTCAGGACCATGAGTCTATCATTCCTATTAAGTTTCAGTTCAATCGGCCTAGTAGACCTTGACTTTAAGTTTGAAATTGTTTTTTCAAAATGGCGGCCGTTGCGGCCATATTAGATGTTTGATTGACCCAAAAAAGAAAAACACTTTGTCAGGACCATGAGTCGATCATTCCTACAAAGTTTCAGTTCAATCGGCCTAGTAGAACTTGACTTTTAAGTTTGAAATTGTTTTTTCAAAATGGCGGCCGTTGCGGCCATATTAGATGTTTGATTGACCCAAAAAAGAAAAACACTTTGTCAGGACCATGAGTCGATCATTCCTACCAAGTTTCAGTTCAATCGGCCAAGCAGAACTTGCCTTTAAGTTTGAAATAGTTTTTCAAAATGGCGGCTATGGCGGCCATATTTGATTTCTAATCGACCAGAAAAATAACAATACTTTGTCAGGACCATGAGTCGATCATTCCTTCCAAGTTTCAGTTCAATCGGCCCAGCAGAACATGACTTTAAGTTTGAAATAGTTTTTCAAAATGGCGGCCATATTGGATTTCTAATCGACCAGAAAAATAACAATACTTTGTCAGGACCATGAGTCGATCATTCCTTCCAAGTTTCAGTTCAATCGGCACAGCAGAACATGACTTTAAGTTTGAAATAGTTTTTCAAAATGGCGGCCGTGGCGGCCATATTGGATTTCTGATCGACCCGAAAAGTAACAACACTTGGTCTGGGAGATTTCAGTAACTTTCCCATGAAATAATAATGAAATCCCTTTGCCAGTATTTCAGCTTAAGTTGAAAATGTAAACTTTTAACGGACGACGCACGACAACGGATGAAGAAGGATAGCAATAGGTCACTTGAGATTTTTGAACAACAGAAAATAAATTGCAATGGAACAACTACTTAGCATACCACTCATGTCTACCTAATTTCATATACATGTATATCCGTTAAGACGGTAAGTAGGAGTTCTTCAAACAAAACAATGAAACCACTAAAGAGCAAGAGAAAAAGCAATAGACCCAAACATAAACCTAGGTTACATAACTTCCACATATGGTGAAAATACATGTCAATTTTTTTATTTTTTTTATAACAGATTCAATTTATAGAAGAATTTGTGGAAGTTCTAGTGCACAACTTCAAAGTTTGGTGACAACATCAGTGGAATTTCATAAAATTCAGATGAAAACTGTAGGAGGTATTGTAAGGACAGCATCTGACACATCAGTTGGTAAAAGGGGCAGTGCTGTTTACAAAATCTGTTGTGAAAATGTATAATTAATGGAAACTACTATTATAACGTCCGCTACCTTTTGTTAAGAGAGAATGAAGCTTGTCTCTGTTCTATTGAGATGGAAGTTGGCAGTTCATAGTTCTGCGTGCGGCTTAATGAACTGAGAAGTTTTTCCTCGTCTGTTGAATTCTGGTTTGGACTTGACAAATCATTGTCACCAGACACTACTTCATTCACTGGGCTGGACATTCGCTCTGTAAATAAGCAAAGAGACCTCTGTAAGTAGGCAAAGAAACAGGATCAGTTTCCAAAAAGAATTAATGTCAGTATACCTGATGGGTGATGGCCCAGATGAGCAGCCATGTCAAACAAATAAAAGCACAATAAACTTGTTTTTGCCGAGACAATGGCTTTAAAATCTACCTTTCACAGAATTAGGAAAATTTAATAAGAAGTGTTGGCAATGAGAAAGTTTCACTCAACACTTTATTTGTAGGGTGGAAATGTTGCCCTGTCAACTAGATACACAGTGTACACGAAGCCATATTAAGCAGTAAAGGGGAATAACTCACCTGTTTCGGGTGAAGAGGCTTCCTCAATGCCTACTGTTGTGCTGGTTGTGGCTTCCTTGGTAAAGAATGTGGAGTTTCCCTCCTGTATCCTTGGGCTCTGTTCCGCTGATGGATCCACTGATGGCCTCATACTGCTTGTATCGAATGTCTTCTCCAAGGTTTCTTCTGGGGCAGTAAATGCTCTCACACGCTGTATAGCAACCAACATTGAATGTGAAATACTTAGGCCAAACAGAAAAACTTGTTTGTTTTCTGTTACATGACTGAAAGAATTAGGGTAGGTCGGTAGGTAAAAGATATTTTTTTTCTTTTTTTTCTTTCATAAGGTCAATATGGTAGAGTGATCTTGACTTTAAACAGTGCTTCCTCGAAAATTGCCAAAATATGTTAAGGGTAGGCACAAAAACCTAGGGTAGGTAGGATACCTGGGAACAAACAACATTTTTTGTTTGCCCTTAAAACACAAATCTATTAGATGTTTGAAAATATTAATAACTTCAAACTTCTTAAGGTTCATGTGTATTTTAAATATTTAGAGCCTACTTACCCTTGTTGGCATTTCCTCTGATGACTCGAGTCTAAGTATATCTACATCTCCTTGGAATATGATTTCTGCCAGCTGTCTGACCAGTGGTGAGTAACTGATGATCAGAAACACCTAACAACAGAAAGGGTTCATTACATTGTTAACATAGAAACTAGTTAATCATACATAGCAAAAGATAGGTCATATTCATGAAATATCATTACTCTAGCAGCAATCCTATTTTGTGATATTTAACGGATTGTAAAATGCTAATGAAGTACAACACTTGAATTTAGCCGACATCTCAATCTGTAAAATCCTACCTGTGACAGCAGGAACAGGGACACCACTGACGATACATGTTTTCTCTGAAGCTGAAAAAAAACCACAGTGTGCATTATATGAGTCAGTTATTTACACTGAGCTTAATATATTTTGCACTTCAATTAAAACAGGGTAATCCCATTGTCCAAGTGTCGCCCATTGACTATAACTTACAAATTAGCAGCATGTTATATTGAGTCTCCATTTCACATTTAGAGGATAGTACCTTGTTTTGATTGGCTGTACTGGTAATTAGAATATGAAATATGGTTTGAACTAGAGACCAATAGATCAAAAGTTTAAACCAAACCTATGTTGTAGTCGCCCGTATATACACAAAAAACACAAGTTCAAAATTTCAATAACATAGTGATGGGCTATGATTTATTATAATCCAAAATTGATGGGTTTACCCTTTCAAATCTGATTATTGATTACAAATTCCATAACCAATATTCCGTCTTTGCATATCGCAGAGTTATCTTTTCTTGTGAGCAGGTGTTGATTGTTACGTCATTGGTTTGTGAGAGTAACGTCATCAATTTTTGAGAAAACGACGTAATTTTCTCACACAAACCAATGACGTAACAATCAATACCTGCTCACAAGAGAAGATAACTCTGCAATACGCAAAGACGAAATAATTGGTTCATTATGGTATTGAACAACATTATAAGTCATTTCCTTTTATGATTTTTAATATATGATTGACCGTAATGTAAAAAAACCTCAAAACTCAAAACCATGTTTAAGTTGCTTGCAATCCATTAACTATAAAAGAAGGAATCCTAATATAGAGTAAATCACCCCATCAGTTGTACCGACAGTGTTGTCACTTTATTTGGGTATTCAGTAACATAAAATTATGAACCGGTTATGTAATCGATCATCCATTAGCTTACAACTTTCAATCACCAATTATCAACTATGATTTTAAACTGATTTCCCATCACTAAGCTGACATCATCTCACCGAAAAAGACAATCTTCACTAAGCTGACATCATCTCACAGAAAAAGACAATCATCACTAAGCTGACATCATCTCACAGAAAAAGACAATCATCACTAAGCTGACATCATCTCACAGAAAAAGACAATCATCACTAAGCTGACATCATCTCACAGAAAAAGACAATCATCACTAAGCTGACATCATCTCACAGAAAAAGACAATCATCACTAAGCTGACATCATCTCACAGAAAAAGACAATCATCACTAAGCTGACATCATCTCACAGAAAAAGACAATCATTAAACAAACTTACTGTGAAGCTTTTACATAGTGCTTTAATTCTGAACTTTAGTATGTACTTTTGTCTTCTTTATCCTTAGTTGTTGTACATTAATTTGTACAGTATCTAGAAAATCTACTATATGCATTCACAATGCCCACAATTCTATACCCTTGGGTAGATATCTTGTCTTACTGGTTTCTATTGATTCTAAACTTAACCTTACTAGTATATTAATATCTTTCAAGATATTAAAATCATCTACAGTGAAATAACTATGACATTAGATAAATAATTAAACGTGTGATATTACTTTTACCGTTCTATCGGAATGTTTCTTCCTCATGGTAAGGGAGTACACGTAGAGAGGAATGAGGAGTCGGTTCAGGAGCTGGTCCGTCAACACATCATTTAGTGAGTCAATCTGGATATTCAGGATGTCGTTCATGTAATGCAGGTGATCTAAGTGTTCAGCCACTAGGTCTGACAACCAGTTACGACTTTGATGCCTAAAACATACAAACATCTTTTGTATGACAACCAGTTAGGACTGAGGTGTCTATAACAAACATCATCTATTGTATGACAACCAGTTAGGACTGAGGTGTCTATAACATACAACATCTATTGTATGCCAACCAGTTAGGACTGAGGTGTCTATAACAAACATCATCTATAGCATGACAACCAGTTAGGACTGAGGTGTATATAACATACAACATCTATTGTATGACAACCAGTTACGACTGAGGTGTCTATAACAAACATCATCTATAGCTTGACAACCAGTTAGGACTGAGGTGTCTATAACATACAACATCTATTGTATGACAACCAGTTACGACTGAGGTGTCTATAACAAACATCATCTATAGCTTGACAACCAGTTAGGACTGTGGTGTCTATAACATAATCATCTATTGTATGACAACCAGTTAGGACTGTGGTGTCTATAACATAATCATCTATTGTATGACAACCAGTTAGGACTGAGGTGTCTTTAACATACATCATCTATTGTATGACAACCAGTTAGGACTGTGGTGTCTATAACATACATCATATATTGTATGACAACCAGTTAGGACTGTGGTGTCTATAACATACATCATATATTGTATGACAACCAGTTAGGACTGAGGTGTCTATAACAAACATCATCTATTGTATGACAACCAGTTAGGACTGGGGTGTCTATAACAAACATCATCTATAGCATGACAACCAGTTAGGACTGTGGTGTCTATAACATAATCATCTATTGTATGACAACCAGTTAGGACTGGGGTGTCTATAACATACACCATCTATTGTATGACAACCAGTTAGGACTGAGGTGTCTTTAACATACATCATCTATTGTATGACAACCAGTTAGGAATGAGGTGTCTATAACATACATCATCTATTGTATGACAACCAGTTAGGACTGGGGTGTCTATAACAAACATCATCTATAGCATGACAACCAGTTAGGACTGTGGCATCTATAACAAACATCATCTATTGTATGACAACCAGTTAGGACTGTGGTGTCTATAACATACATCATCTATTGTATGACAACCAGTTAGGACTGAGGTGTCTATAACATACATCATCTATTGTATGACAACCAGTTAGGACTGTGGTGTCTATAACATACATCATCTATAGCATGACAACCAGTTAGGACTGAGGTGTCTATAACATACATCATCTATTGTATGAAAACCAGTTAGGACTGTGGCGTCTAAAACATATAACACCTATTGAAATCCCTTTAAGAGGAAAATAATGTCATATTTATTTTCTAACAATTAGATGAGACTCTAATGTAAAAAGCAAGTCGTGTCTGATAATCAGTGACATGTTTCACACCTACCCTGCATCGTTGCGTACACAGCTGTCCAGATCAAGTATATGCATGCCTATGAACCAAACAAGGTTAGAGAAGTATGGGGCTGCTGTCCGATCCTTTATATACCTCAGCATGGCGTTGTCTTGGACTGAAAAACAAATATTGAGAATTTTATGATGATCCTTTACCTACCAAACCGTAACTGTGTATGCTGTTGCCTCACTTACTGTAATTTCACTTTATCTAGCTTGCCATACTGTAACTTACCATAGTGTAAATTACCATGATAATGGAATTTGGAAATTAACACTTCATTTAATCCACTTTCTAGTCATATCAGCAAATTGCTCAATTTCAAACTTACTCTCATTTTTGGAGAAACATAAACATGTACATGTAGTGGTTTTGACATACAGTTTATTGTGTGTGATGGCTAATATGACTTACTAAGTGTTAGCATATGGAGACAGTGAAAGTGGGAAAGAGAGTATACATAAATATATGTATGCATGGTCTAGATTCTAGAACAAAATTGGCCAAAGACATTGAGTTGTAAAATGTAATAAAAAAAATCACAGACGTTTCTCTTTTTTATACTTGTCATTGCGTATATACACTTTTATGAAAACATTTGAAAAGGGATATTCGTCTCGTGAATGTTCCTTTTTACAGTTTGTCCCATGGTTGAGGGAAGGTGTTAAGCCCCATACCATCTGTACTGGTCACATTCCGGTAATAAATTTAATATATATTAATATATATCTACTTCGTCAGGACAGGCATCCCTAGAGTATGCCTGTCCTGTTTGGGACCCATTCACCCAGGATAACATCAATAAGATTGAAATGGTACAATGCAGGGCTGCTCGTTACGTACTAAACAAAATGCTCATAGAACATCCAGTGTCTCCGATATGTTGAACCATCTTAAATGGCGATCCCTTGCCAACAGACGCAGAGACACAAGCCTATGTATGATGTTCAAAATTGTAAACAATCAGGTAGCTATTAGTAAACACGCTAGACCTATACCAGCAGCCAGGCAATCAAGGCATGCCAATCACCAATCCTTCCAAATACCACACTGCAGAACCCAGGTCAGAAAGCAATCCTTCTTTCCATGATCAATACCTGAGTGGAAGATATCATATCCTCCTGTTCTACTACTAATTTTTTTAAATCTGCTCTCCTGTCACTGTACCCTCAAAATTAAACCTATATACATGTATATATCATTTTGGCTTTCTTGAAATCGACTAAATCTCTTTCTCCCTCACGACATTATCTTCAATTTGTTGAAGTTGGTCATTACCATTTAGAACTAGAGGTAGAAGTACTTCATGTTTATGCCTATTATCATTGTTGACATTTAATTGTAAATGTATGATGGGGGAAGGCTGTGATAAGTTGTAAAAACTTGTGCCCAATTCCTTGTTCAATTTTATTGGCAATAAATATGTTTAAAGTTAAATAAATTAAATTCTGAATATTGACAAGTGTGCAATTAACTTTTGATGATGAATAATTACTGATTCAATAAGTTTTAACACGGACTTAGAAATCATATTACTTGGTTTCATAGTGCGGTAAGAAGTTGCTGTTGCCTAATGGCCCCCACTCTCGGTCAGACCACTGCCTAGTTTCAAAACCGTCAGGTGACGTTATCAGTGCTATTTTTAACAGGGCTTTTCAAAACAATTCAAGTGGTCAAACTGAACATTTGGGGCGGACTATGAATATGGGGATAGCGAGGTAACATAAGTGGAAATGCATACAACACATACATTCATTAAAAAAAAATATGGCTCTTTACGTGATGTCACTTTAAAGGGACTAAATATGTGAAAAGGGCCTCAAAAGAGACTCTGAAACTTAGCTTCTGCTATCATAGCAAACTGGTATGTTGAGTTGTTGACTTACAAAAAACATCCAGAAATAATATTTGTCGTTTAATATTAAGCTAGAGATTGTCAACCTCAGGATGGCGATATTCTTCAGGTACCAAAGGTTTGTAGTGAGGCCCTGTCTGTCAATGGTATACACATTAACTTTTCATCCAATAAAGCAGTTTATCACTTCATTTAGATTAATATGAGGAATTGTCAACCCTCAAAAGGTGATATTCCCCTCGGTCTTCGACCTCGAGAATATCACCTTCTTTGGGTCAGCAAATCATCATATCAAAAGTTAATAACTGTATAATATTGATCAATTTGCTGTGGAAATAAACCATTGTGTTCTCCTCGCTTGTGTGAATTTCAGAAGTCATATTTTCTTTTATTTGGATCATCTAGAAAAATAGGTATTGAGCCCTTGTGAAAAATGATTAATCTTAAATCTTGGTGAAAACATAAGATCCTGTTTCTCTACCACAGGGGCAAAAAAAGGTATAATATGCACTTATCACATCAAATTTCAAACTTAGCCTGATACTTGCAATTATGAGTGCATACCAAATTTGGTTTTAATAATCAAACCATTTGTTTGGGCTGTTATTGAAAGGAAACCAATAAACCAATCAGAATCAAGTAGCCTAATTAATTATGCTGTAGTATGCATGTATTGGAGATAAAAGTTAGCGTGAGTCTTGCCATTATTTATTTACATACCAAATTGAGTTAAAAATAATTATTTTGGGGCAGTTTATTGAATGGAAACTTAAGGGGGACAAACAGATGCATGGCTAGGCACACCCATATCAATATCCCTAGTTTTCTCCTAACAACAGGAAATTAAAAGATTTTCTGTTTTACAACATAGCTTACCATTAGACATACCTCTAAACACATTTAATGTAATGGTTCGCACTGCAATCCTCACCATGGTCTCCGAGTGATTAAAAAACTTTATAGCTTCTGTGTACAGGGCAAAATCATTGGTGTGCTTAATGAAGAAAGGGAAACAATTCAAAAGAATTCATACAAATATTTCAAAATAAGGACAAGTTTCATTTACAATCAATACTTTGCATTAATTGTGTGCCAATTGCTAATTTTAAACTCTGTTTGGACAATTAATGTCGAATGGATCAGTATGACAGTAGTGTAAATAGGTTAGAGTATTTCCTTAATTGCAAAATGAAAATTAAAAAAACAAAAATTTTATTTTTCACATTAGACTAAATAGTGTATCTGTTATATATATATATTTACAATTGCCACTGTTTCTGAATCGAAAAAAGTAATAATTGGAGCAGTTGGTAAATTGTTTGTAAACGCAATTTACCTCGTGCTCCATTGGATTTATTATCTCATAAACAAAACAAACTAAAAGGTTAATCCTTAAATATTTTTTTGGGATAAAAGTAATTACATTCTTAGTTGCTGTTAGTCACACTTACCTCATTGTAAAAGAAATGAATAGTGTGACGATTCAACTTCAAAGACAAAGTCTTCAGGAATGAGATATAATAAGCCATAACCTGAAACAGATATAAAATTCTCATTAAACTAATTTTGTATACAAAAATCAGCAACCTATGGCTTGAAAACTTAACCAATATATATTGTGATTAATTTGGTGTATTATCCAAATGAAAATATTTTCGATAGATGGACATCTAATTAAGATCAACTTAAGGCTGATATAGGTAAATATCTAGTTAAAGTACGATATCAACACATTCATATGTTTGCCCAGTAAAATTAATGTAGCACTTTTAATGATATTAGTACATTGATATTTGGCACTAAATTGACTTCTAAAATACTTGCTTCATCTAATAGTTAGCTTTTTCCTAATTTGGTTCTTTTAAGTGTCATGAACATTTCTGAATGTGTACAGTGTACATGGAACATATTTTGCAATGCTTTTTTAAAAAATTTGCATACACACCTCTTCATCTGAGAAATCAAATCTATGGACTATGATAGCATTGATGTGATTGTTTGACAATAGGTAATCTGCAAAGTGAAGAAAAACGAACAGAATATATCAAAACTCACATTATATTATATATATGTATAATGAACAAAATAAAGGAATATCCTTCTGATAATGAAAAAATATATCCGAGTCATAAACTTTGCTGGATAATAATGAAAAAATATATCCGAGTCATAAACTTTGCTGGATAATAATGAAAAAATATATCCGAGTCATAAACTTAGCTGGATAATAATGAAAAAATATATCCGAGTCATAAACTTTGCTGGATAATAATGAAAAAACGCATCCGAGTTAGAGACTCTACAGCATAATTACATCTACTGGTTAAACAAGCAAAACACAGATTTCGAGAATATGTTTAGTCACTTAAAATGTTCAGTTACTTCCTGATTTAACACATATGCCAGACATATACTGGTAATACATTTTATTTATGTACACTTACATGTAATGTGCTGAAACTATTTTATCAAAATGCTAATACATGCACATACTACGTTAACATACAACCATAACAAATATCACAGGCCTAGCCACATGTAAGCATAATGATATTAAAATGTTTATTTCCCTTTTTTCCAGAGTATATTACCCTGTTTCATTGAATCCCAGCCTTATGGTCAAGAAACAGTTAAGAGGATTTCTGAACCAAAGTGCCGGTAACTTAACAAATTAAACCTATCAAAAATGATGGATTTTGAGGAATACAAAATCACTAAATCCTAAATACACGATGTAGGTAATTTTAATTTATCTAAAAAGTCTTAATTTTTAATTTGCATTTTAATTAGAAATTGCATTTTAAGTTACAGCAAAAAAAATTACTCTTTAACTTTCACATTATTAGATGCTACTTTTAACATATAGCATTCAGAAAGCAAAATGGTGTTAAGGCCCATTCTTACACAAGGATGTTTCGTTGCTTATGTTCTCAAACAGGATGTTCAGAGTCTGTAGGAGTTGCACACATATAAATCGTCCCAATTTCTGTCGCAGATATCGCAGGAAAAACGACAGCATGTTCTTTTCCAAGAAGAAACTGAAAATAAAAAATAAAATAGTATGTAACCACTAATATTTTCTTCAAATACCCTGAGTACATGTAACATTTCTTAGAGACAGAAAGAAAACAAGAGGCCCAGAGGGCCTGTATCGCTCACCTGTTTCTTTTGTTACATGAAACTGACATAAGACCATATTTGGTAACTAGAACATAAAACATTTTACCATCACTTAAACAGTTCTGAAGATATTGTTGTTTGAAATTTCAAATTTTAATTTTGAAGCTTTTAACCAACATTGACCTTTGACTCCCGACTCGCACTTAAAGTTGACCTCTGACCCCATAACTGCAATAAAGTAAAATACTCACACAGCTGGTCTACATAACATACCCAAGTATCATGACTCTAGTCCAATGGTTCTTAGGATATATTTGTTTGAAATTTTTAACATATTTGACCCGTGTGACCTTGAAAGTAGGTCAAGGTTATTTTAATGAAAAAGCTGTATAGCACTACATCCTAGGTACTTAATGGCCAAATATCATGACCCTGGGCCTTATGGAACTTGAGAAGAAGATTGTTAAAGCTTTTAACCAAAGTTGTCATTGGACCCCCAGCTAGCTTTTAAAGTTGACCTTTGACCTCATTACCATAATTGATAAGAATATTTGCACTGCTGGTCTACATAACATACCCAAGTATCATGACTCTAGTCCAAATGGTCTTAGGATATTGTTGTTTGATTTCTTTTTACATATTTGACCCCTGTGACCTTAAAAGTAGGCCAATATCATTTTAATGAGGAAACATTATAGCACTGCATTCCATGTACCTGCTGGCCAAATATCACGACCCTTGGCCTTATGGAACTTGAGAAGAATATTGTTAAAGCTTTTAACCTATGTTGACATTTGACCCCTGACTAGCACTTAAAGTTGACCATGGAACTCATTACTGTAAATCATAAAATATTCGCACTGCTGGTCTACATAACATACCCAAGTATCATAACTCTAGTCCAAATGGTTTTTAGGATGTTGTTTGAAGTTTTTAACATATTTGACCACTGTGACCTTGGAAGTAGGTCAATGTAATCTTAATGAGAACATTTTATAGCATTCCATCCCAGGTACCTACTTGTCAAATCTCATGACCCTGTCCCTTATGGAACTTGTGAAGAAGATTGTTAAAGCTTTTAACCAAAGTTGACATTTGACCCCTGACTAGCACTTAAAGTTGACCATTGACCTAATTACTGTAATTAAAAAAAAAAATGCACTGCTGGTCTTCATAACATACCCAAGTATCATGACTCTAGTGCAAATAGTTCTTGGAATATATTTGTTTGAAGTTTTTAACATATTTGACCCCTGTGACCTTGAAAGTAGGTTGAGGTAATTTTATTAAAGAATTTTTATAGCACTCTGTCTCAGGTACCTACTGGCCAAATATCATGACCCTAGGTCCTCCAGTTTTTCAGAAGAAGCCGTTCAAAAGAAAAAGTTGACGGACGGACGACGCAGTACGGCATAACTTCACCTGGCCCGAAGCAAAGTATAAACATCCTGGGAACCATGGTTATTCATAAGAGGTTGTTTAAAGATTTTAAAAATTTGACGCCTGTGACCTTGAATATAAGTCAAAGTCATTCACTTTAACAAACATAGTAGTCCTTGATCCCAGCATATGCTACTGACTAAATATCATCACCCTGGGCCTTTTGGTTATTCAGAAGAAGTTGTTCAAAGTTTTTAACATATTTGACCTCTGTGACCTTGAATATGGGTGAAGGTCATGCATTTGAACAAACTTTGTAGCCCTTCATCTCAGCATGCTACTGGCCAAATATCATCACCCTGTGCATTTTGGTTATTCTTCAGAAGTTGTAGAATGTTTTTCACATATTTGACCCCTGTGACCTTGAATATAGGTGAAGGTCATTCATTTGAACAATCTTGATAGCCCTTTACCCCAGCATGCTACTGGCCAAATATCATCACCCAGGGCATTTTGGTTATTCAGAAGAAGTTGTTTAAAGGTTTAAAACATATTTGACCCCTGTGACCTTGAATATGGGTGAAGGTCATTCATTTGAACAAACTTGGTAGCCCTTCACCCAAGCATGCTACTGGCCAAATTTCATCTCCCTAGTCAGTTTTGTTATTGAGAAGAAGATGTTTAAAGTTTTTAACATATTTGACCCCTGTGACCTTGAAAATAGGTGAAGGTCATTAATTTTAACAAACTTTGTAGCCCTACATCCAAGTTTGCTTATGGCCAAATATCGACACCCTAGGCCTTTCGGTTATTAAGAAGAAGTCATTTAAAGTAAAATATTGACGCCGGATGCTGGATGCCGGACAAACGGACGACGGACCCCGCGCCACGGCATAAGCTCACTTGGCACTTTGTGCCAGGTGAGCTAACAAGGAAATGAAGTTTTCACAAACTATTTCAGTTCATGGTGATGACTTACTCAAATACACTGCTGTCATTTTGATCACCCCATATAAGGATTTCTGAAATGGACCTCAACGTCTCAACCAGCAAACTTCTGTTGTGTTCATGCACTATTTGGTTCTTCAACAGCAAATTGTACAAGTACCTGGAGAAAAACAAATCAACATTAACATTTTGGTTCATCATAAATCACATCACCATCCACATACACTGACCCCAGTTATTTCTGGCATTCTGATAACCATGGTTTCCATGTCGCTGTCTGTATTGACTATATCAAGATTGGTGAGAAGGTAAGTGACATGGCTACAGTACGCACTTGTCTACCAGAACTGGACTGGGTCGATCGATGTTGTCTAGGTAGCTCAATTGGTAGAGCATCCGTCTAAGAGTTCATGGCCTCGGGTTTCAACACAGGTGTGGCCGTGCATTTTTCCATCTCCTGTTACAGTGGTACCTTTGACCAACCCTTGTTTCAAGTATATTGGGTGTATGCTTGGCGAGGGGATACCCAAATCCATGTTGTAAATATTTAGTTGTGTCTTCGACGACTGGTCGAATCGTTGGCAACCTGGTAACTCGATTGGTTGAGCATCTGTCTAGTATTTGGAGGGTTCCAGGTTCAAACCCCGGTCTGGACGTGCATTTCTTAATCTCCTGTTACACTTGTACAAGCTGACTGGTCCTGGTTGACATGTATACTAGATATTGACATAGTCTTGATGTCACATTATAGGATGAGGAAGTCAATTAGTCCTGGTTCACTGTCTGTGTTGTATGTGTGCTATTGCAGAAAATGCAAAACTGACCACAAGATAGACGAAATCGATACAGCGATAGTATAAGTTTTACTGTACAGAAAACGGAAAGTATAATGTGTACCACAGGAGTCTGAAGTTCTGTCAAAAAATATTTTACAACAGTAATAAGAAAATACCTATAACATGAGTTAATGTTATTTTTAAAGCATACTATAGGTATTTTTTTGTGTATTATTGTTATTTTTAATTTTTGACAGAACTTCAGGCTCCTGTGCACCTTTTCCGATGCATCAGTAAGAACAGTAACGTTTATGTATCTATCTTCGAAAAGACACAGTGTTATTACAGCTATGAAAAGGTTATAACGAAGTGTAAAACATGTCAACAACACGTGATATAAATTTGTTAACCCACTAAGTGACAATTGAAAATATGTAGTAAGAGGACATTCACCAGATTCACCAAGATACTCACTTTAAATGTTCCAGGGAATGTGGATTTTTAGGTTTAGACAATAGTCCAGGCAACCATCCTTTCGATCTGGAAAACATCGCGAATGATTTATCCACTCAAACCTTGGATCAAACAAACATAATTTCTGAAGTAGGTGTCAACTTATGACAGCCATGAAAATAATGTTCGTGTACAAGCAGTACAGCTGTTGTGATTGGCCTTGTCATTAAAATTCAACCAATCGACGATTGCCTTTCATCGACTAAGGGAAGTCACTCTGCATTTTAACTCTTTTAGAACTTTGGTCTAGTTTTCACTGCTTTACATAATTATTTATTATCAAAAGATAAACGAGATTTAGCAGAAGAGCCATTGGGTGTTATTAACGTTCGTAAGTACGACTGTCATATGTATAAATTGTGTCTGTAGCGGGACTGAGCCGGGTGATCGTCCATCTAGCTAACAGGAGTTCGAAGGTCCCAGGTTCGAATCCCACTCTGGCCACGTTGCATTTTCCATCCAATGTTACGTGTGGACATGTAACAAATTAATGCACTAGAGTATAAAAGGTATTAGGTTAAATAATGGAGCTTTCACATGTGCGTTCAATAATATCTACCTTACACTTGGTCCACCTCGGAATTACTTGGATACATAGGCCTAGATGATGACAGTAAAAAAAGGTCTTTATCTCTAAAAATGTTGAACATAAAGATTTCGTATGAAATATGCAAATTGATTTTTTTTCTTTTTGATTGATTATTTTGAGGTATTAAATAATTTTACCTGTCACACATCAAATAACTTTCCAAAGTTCTGTTCTAAAAAGGAATGAGACAAATCCAACAGTGTTTGTGAATTCAATTGTATAACTCTGTAACAAATGGATGGATGAATGGCCACAAATCTTATTAAAGAATAATGAAAAAATAAAAATGAAACCCCATTAATTAATATATTCAACAAGGTTATCGGTAGATGCCTTCTTTGGTACTGTTCTGTGTAGCCAAGGAGCAGTGCACCAGCCATCCTATACCAGCAAGCTGCAAAATAGGATGGAGTGTGCTTATAAAGCAGTACTGTCCAGTCTGAGATATCTAAATAGGCTAGCTAAAACTAAAACCATACAGGGCTGCTTACATTATTCGCGACAAACGGTTGGACCAGAGTTGTACATTTATGAAATAAGGTCGGACTTAGTAATCTGATGCTGGTTTTAGGCGAGCCTTGACTAAGCCTTGCAAGGCCTGTATGATCATTTGCAGGACTAATACCGAAAATGTCACATTTAAAAACAGACAAAGTGGTTGTTCTGCATAAACGAACAGGTATGTCATTGGTCCATACATGCACGAGTCAAATGGCTTGAGATCAGTGATAGAGTCCTTAATCAAGAAAGGGAGTTAACATAGTTGGCGGATAACTTGGATAAGGAACCTTAATCTGATTGTCACATTCATTCCAAGTAATTTAATGACTTGTAACAAGTTTGATGCCCTTTTCAAAATCACAAGCCTTCCTCACTTCTGAAGACATATATATAGGCCTAAATGGGTCTCATGATGCAGCCATAATTAAGTAGTGTCATAGTATAAATACTGTTGTTTTCTACTGGATCGAAATGGATCACAGACATGCAACAAATCACCAACCTTTTGAATGTTTTATGGAGGAGAACCAAGATGGCAAAATATAGAATGTGTATAGAGACTTCTGTGGATTTTATACATGAAAAATAAGTGGGAACAAGGAGATCAGCCTCTCCCTGCAAATTAGGGACACTTTGCAAGAATGACAGTTAATTCCAAAGAGTTGATTTTCTCCCATTTTTACACTTAAGTGTCTCCCGTTTTATCTGTTTAAGATTTCTCTGTTTCTCCAGCTAGGTATGACTGCTATCATGCAGTAAGAAACAATACCCTGATGTCATTTGGAAAAAAACAAGCATACTGAGTAAGCAATACATGTCCCGCTAGCTTTTACACTAATGATTTATAAAAATGGTGCCCTTTGGTGGTAAAATGAAAAGTATACAATTAGCTATAGCTTGTACCTGAATTTAATGTAATTTTTCTATTCTACATAACCATCAATCATATTATAAAAAAAATTCAGGATAAATGAATTTCCATGTATACTGTATATTACATACACATTTGACACTTTAAGTTCAGTAATGAACCGATTATACTGATTATGGAATTTGTTATCGATAATCAGAATCGAACATGACAAATCGATCGATGTTCGATTATTATATATCGATCATCAGTCCATCACTGGCTTCAACTTGTCCAGGACTATGTATTAATAGTAACGGTGGCCTTGACCTCAACTCTACAACCCTGAAACTCAAATTTGTCCGAGATATTATGGTCCTTTGTAATTGTGTGAAGTTTGATCCATATCCCTCGAAGAATGAAGCCACTAGAGCGCTGACAATAGATTTTCTAAAAAAATCTAACAGTGACCTTGACCTTGACCCAACAACCCTGAAACTCCAAATTGTCCAAGATATTATGGTCCTTTGTAATTGTGTGAGGTTTGATCAAAATCCTTAATGGAATGAAGCCGCTAGAGCGCTGACAACGATTTTCTAAAAATAGTAACGGTGACTTTGACCCAACAACCCTGAAACTCGAACTTCACCGAGATATTATGGTCCTTTGTAATTGTATGAAGTTTGATCAAAAACCCCTCAAGGAATGAAGCTGCTAGAGGGCTGACAAACATTGGTGTTGCGTACGTACACAGACGGACGGAGCGGAAACCTATAGTCCCCCCGGTTTCACCGGTAGGGGACTAATAACTATGAAGCCTCAATCAGTTTTATTGGAGAGGCCAATTGCAATTCAGGATAAAAACCACAGATTACAACTTGTGATAACCAATGTTATCAAAGATATTATAAATAGGATGTGAGAAAAAAAAATCTACTACATTGAAGGTACGCCAGGAAAATATCAACCCCTGGGTGATATTCTTCAAGGTCTTACCCTCTGCTTGAAACAATTTATAATCGTAAAAGGCTGAGGAAGTTAATCTGCTCTGAGATAAATACAAATGTCAAGTGCATATTTGTATTTTAATGAGAAAATCCTTTTGGTGTCGTATGTATATTTTGAGTGTTTATTTAATGCTTTTGAATATTTTAGCACCAACCATGATGATAAGTTCATGTACACACATGGGGAGATGCATTTTTCAGTTGACCAGAAGCTGTACGAAGGTGTTAAGACGCTCCTCCAAGCTTGAATTATTGAGAATTAGCCAATCTAGTTACCATATGGCAGGCCAAACTGAGCTGAAAGAGTGCCAGGGGGATTGGGTAGTGGACTTACGGAGTGACACTCTCACTAAACCCACCCCCGGCATGAGGCAAGCCATGGCCAATGCTGAGGTAGGGGATGATGTCTTTGGGGAAGACCCAACAGTAAATGGTAAGCATCTGAAAATTTCAACTCAAAATTATGGTAGCATTAAACTCTTGGCTTCAGCTTAATACCAGTGATGACTGTTGACCATTTCTATTTTTTAGCACAAAGGGCCTCGTGTGTGCCTGAACCGCGGCATTGCATCTGTCGTCCGTCTGTTGTCCACTGCCCGTCGTTTGTCAATTGTCTGTTGTCAGATTCCCACACCCATAGGGATCTAGTCCTATTCTTATATTCCCTGTACTCTTTTGAAATCAAACACATACTTTATTCAACAAGGTTTAATTAAAAATAATTTAAATTCCAGGTATGCTGTTAAGGCCCCTGGACCACTTGTTAGCTCACCTGGTCCGAAGGACCAAGGTGAGCTTATGCCGTACTGTGGCATCCGTCGTCCGTACGTCAACAATTTCTTCAAACAACTTCTCCTTCTTAACCACTGATTGGAATTTTACTAAATTTGATTGAAAGCTTCCCTAGGTAGTGGGGATTCAAAATTGTACAAATGGTGGGGCTCACCCCCCAGGGGGCTGAGGGATGGGGCCAAAAGGGGATAAGGGGGCAATTTGGCTATATTGAAATAAACAACTTCTTCTGTGGAACTATGCATTAGATATTTATGATATTTGATTGGAAGCAAAGGGGTAATTTAGCTATATTGCATTAAGCTCCAAAAGGGGGCAATTTGGCTATATTGCTTTAAGCGACTTCTGTGGAACTAAGAGATAGATATCAACCATATTTGACTGGAAGCATCCCTAGGTAGTGGGGATTCAAAATTGTACAAATGGTGGGGCTGACCCCCAGGGGAATGAGGGGCGGGGCCAAAAGGTGGCAATTTAGCTTTATTGCTATAAACGACTTCTTCTGTAGAACTATGCACTGGATATAAATCATATTTGGTTGGAAGCATTCATGGGAAGTGGGGATTCAAAATTGTACAAATAGTGGGGGGCTGACCCACCGGGCTAAGGGGTGGGGCCAAAAATAGTTTATTACTTGGAAATGGTTGAGATCCACACCCTATAACCATATATACAGTTGCTGAGTATAGAGAGAAGAATGCACATATGCTTCCAGGATGGCACCGGGATCTGGCTCCACCCTTGGAGACTTAATCCCTGGGTCATAACTTTGAAACGGTTGAGATCCCCAACCCAAAACTATATATACAATTGTTTGGCATAAAGAGACAAATGCTGTCATGATATTAGAATTGACCCCAGGATCTGCCCCACCCTTGCAAACTTAACCCCTGGGTCATAACTTTAAAACAGTTGAGATCCCCACCCCAAAATTAGATACAGTATACAATTGTTGGACATAAAGAGACAAATGCTGTCATGATATGAGAATTGACCCCAGGATCTGCCCCACCCTTGCAAACTTAACCCCTGTGTCATAACTTTGAAACGGTTGAGATCCCCACTCCAAAACTAGATATACAAATGCTGGGCATAAAGAGTCAAATGCTGTCATAATATTAGAATTGACCCTGGGGTCTGGCCACAACCTTAGGGACCTAGTTTTGTAGTCACAGCTTGGAAACAGTTGAGATCCCCACCCCATAACCAAACATAAACTTGCTGGGCATGAACATGTTACAAGGTTTGGTGTTAGGGTCTAGCCCATTCCCTTGGATCTTATAAGGAGAATATTTTGCCATGATTGCTTAGATATCCAGGTGAGTGATACAGGCCCTCTGGGCCTCTTGTTTTATAAATGGTATATATATGCTTATAGCCATAGGTATAGTTAAATCAATAGTCGAGATATGTATATATAAAGGTCAAGCTAAATCAATGATAGAGGTTTATAGGTATAGTAAGTTAAATCAATGGTAGGGGAAAAGTCCTTTCAACAGTGTTTCTTTTACCAGTGAACTTCTAAATATTTTTAGAATTGCAAAAAAGATGTGCTGATCTGTTTGGGAAAGAAGCAGCTCTTTTTGTGCCCACTGGGACAATGGGAAATCTTATTGCTAGTAAGTACTATTGGTTGTTGTAGCAATTACCTTTTCCTTCAAATAATGACATCACTAGGGAATTCTCCAGAGCTTTTGTTCAGGGAATACACCATAGCTAATTTTGAAACTCTACAGAGCTTATTTCGGAATTCTAGATAGCTGATTTCACTTTGTTTTAGAGATTATCCCCAGAGGTAATTTAAGAGAGAAAAAATATTTGCTACAAATACAATAAATACTTGTCATATATTGCTTTTGCACATGTTGACATATACCAGTATTTCATACTTAGTTTGGCATTTGGTGCATCTTACATTGTGAAATAACCTTAATGTTTAATGAAAATTGAGAAAACTTGCTATCAATATGTTGTTTGATGTATATCTGCAGTTTTGACACACTGCCAAGGAAGAGGTTTGGAGGCAATCATTGGTGACGGTAGTCATATTTGTTGGTATGAGCAAGGAGGAATAGCACAGGTATCTAGGTCACATACACATCTAGCAAAGAGGTACAGCACAGGTAACTAGGTCACTATGGACATTTACAATAGAGGTATAGCACATGTAACAAGGTCACTATGGACATTTACAATAGAGGTACAGCACAGGTATCTAGGTCACTATGGATATATACAATAGAGGAACAGCACAGGTAACTAGGTCACTATGGACATCTACAATAGAGGTACAGCACAGGTAACTAGTTCATTATGAACATCTACAATAGAGGTACAGCACAGGTAACTAGGTTACTATGGACATTTACAATAGAGGTACAGCACAGGTAAATAGGTCACTATGGACATTTACAATAGAGGTACAGCACAGGTAACTACGTCACTATGGACATTTACAATAGAGGTACAGAACAGGTAACTAGGTCACTATGGACATTTAAAATAGAGGTACAGCACAGGTAAATAGATCACTATGGACATTTACAATAGAGGTACAGAACAGGTAACTAGGTCACTATGGACATTTACAATAGAGGTACAGCACAGGTAAATAGATCACTATGGACATTTACAATAGAGGTACAGCACAGGTAACTAGGTCACTATGGACATTTACAATAGAGGTACAGCACAGGTAACTACGTCACTATGGATATATACGATAGAGGTACAGCACAGGTAACTAGGTCACTATGCACATCTACAGTAGAGGTACAGTACAAGTAACTAGGTCACTATTGACATCTACAGTAGAGGTATAGCACAGGTTACTAGGTCATGTTTGACATTTACAATAGAGGTACAGCACAGGTAACTAGGCCACTATGGACATCTACAATAGAGGTATAGCACATGTAACAAGGTCACTATGGCCATCTACAGTAGAGGTACAGCACAGGTAACTAGGTCACTATGGACGTCCAGCACAGGTAACTAGGTCACTATGGACATCTAACACAGGTAACTAGGTCACTATGGACAGTCACTATGGACGTCCAGCACAGGTAACTAGGTCACTATGGACATCTACAATAGAGGTACAACACAGGTAACTAGGTCACTATGGACATCTACAGTAGAGGTACAGCACAGGTAACCAGGTCACTATGGACATCTACAATAGAGGTACAACACAGGTAACTAGGTCACTATGGACATCTACAATATAGGTACAACACAGGTAACTAGGTCACTATGGACGTCCAGCACAGGTAACTAGGTCACTATAGACATCTACAATAGAGGTACAGCACAGGTAAATAGGTCATTATGAACATCTACAATAGAGGTTTTGCACAGGTAACTAGGTCACTATGGACATTTACAATAGAGGTACAGCACAGGTAACTACGTCACTATGGATATATACGATAGAGGTACAGAACAGGTAACTAGGTCACTATGGACATCTACAGTAGAGGTACAGCACAGGTAACCAGGTCACTATGGACATCTACAATAGAGGTACAGCACAGGTAACTAGGTCACTGGACTATGGACATTTACAAAAGAGGTACAGCACAGGTAACTAGGTCATTATTGACATCTACAGTAGAGGTACAGCACAGGTAACTAGGTCACTATGGACATTTACAATAGAGGTATAGCACAGGTAACTAGGTCACTATGGACATTTACAATAGAGGTATAGCACATGTAACAAGGTAACTATGGACATTTACAATAGAAGTACAGCACAGGTAACTAGGTCACTATGAACATCTACAATAGAGGTACAGCACAGGTAACTAGGTCATTATGAACATCTACAATAGAGGTTTTGCACAGGTAACTAGGTCACTATGGACATTTACAATAGAGGTACAGCACAGGTAACTAGGTCACTATTGACATTTACAATAGAGGTACAGCACAGGTAACTAGGTCACTATGAACATCTACAATAGAGGTACAGCACAGGTAACTAGGTCACTAGGGACATCTACAATAGAGGGACAGCACATGTAACAAGATCACTATGGACATCTACAATAGAGGTACAGCACAGGTAACTAGGTCACTATGGACATCTACAATAGAGGGACAGCACAGGTAACTAGGTCACTATGGACATCTACAATAGAGGTATAGCACATGTAACAAGGTCACTATGGACATCTACAATAGAGGTACAGCACATGTAACTAGGTCATTATTGACATCTACAATAGAGGTACAGCACAGGTAACTAGGTCACTATGGACATGTACAATAGAGGTACAGCACAGGTAAATAGGTCATTATGAACATCTACAATAGAGGTTTTGCACAGGTAACTAGGTCATTATTGACATCTACAATAGAGGTACAGCACAGGTAACTAGGTCACTCTTGACATTTACAATAGAGGTACAGCACAGGTAACTAGGTCACTATTAACATCTACAGTAGAGGTACAGCACAGGGAAATAGATCAGTCCACTGTTCTGTATATTCAAGGATAACTGATTCTTTTCAGGTATAAGCTTGGTCTTTTTAAAAGAAAACAATTTTTACTGATTGCCGTGAAAATATGATGGAATTACCTGAATTGGGACTAATTGAGAAATTTTGAATTGTACTTGTTCTTGCTTTGTAATTATAACAACATATTTAGTTGGGCTATCTGGAGGGGTAACAGCCATAGAATACTTATATCTTTGTAATTATAACAGCATATTTAGTTGGGCTATCTGGAGGGGTAACAGCCATAGAATGCTTATATCTTTGTAATTTTACAGTTTGCTGGTGTGATGCCAGCCTTGATACACAACAAGTCTGATGGCACTGTAGACCTTGATGAACTGAAGAGTAAAATCCGCCCCCTTGATGACCCTCACCAGCCCCACACCAGACTCATATGTCTGGAAAATACCCACAACCGTTGTGGTGGCAAGGTTCTTCCTGTCAGCTTCATGAAAGAGGTATTATTGTTTCATGAGCTAAACTGGAACATTACAAATAATTTAGTGTTGTTTTATGGTCTATAACTTAGCGTAGTGTAGTGTTGTTTTATGGTCTATAACATACAGCGTAGTGTTGTTTTATGGTCTATAACATACAGTGTAGTGTTGTTTTATGGTCTATAACATACAGCGTAGTGTTGTTTTATGGGCTATAACATACAGTGTAGTGTTGTTTTATCGTCAACAACATACAGCGTAGTGTTGTTTCATGGTCTATAACATACAGTGTAGAGTTGTTTCATGGTCTATAACATACAGTGTAGTGTTGTTTCATGGTCAATAACATACACAGTGAAGTGTTGTTTTATGGTCTATAACACAGTGTAGTGTTATTTCATGGTCTATAACATACAGTGTAGTGTTGTTTTATCGTCAACAACATACAGTGTAGTGTTGTTTCATGGTCAATAACATACAGTGTAGTGTTGTTTCATGGTCTATAACATACAGTGAAGTGTTGTTTCATGGTCTATAACATACAGTGAAGTGTTGTTTTATGGTCTATAACATACAGTGTAGTGTTGTTTTATAGTCTATAACATACAGCATAGTGTTATTTCATGGTCTATAACATACAGTGTAGTGTTCTTTTATGGTTTATAACATACAGCGTAGTGTTATTTCATGGTCTATAACATACAGTGTAGTGTTGTTTTATGGTCAATAACATACAGTGTAGTGTTGTTTTATGGTCAATAACATACAGTGTAGTGTTGTTTTATGGTCTATAACATACAGTGTAGTGTTGTTTTATGGTCTAAAACATACATTGTCGTGTTGTTTTCTGGTTAATAACATACAGTGTAGTGTTGTTTTTACGGTCTATAACATACAGTGTAGTGTTGTTTTATGGTCTATAACATACAGTGTAGTGTTATTTCTTCAAGCTTTTGAATAAGTTGTATTGTTTGTTTTAAGAGCTTTAATCATTCTAGATACAATGTAGTGAATATTTTGCAAGAAGTTTTATACAAGATTTCACTAATTGTTTGACCTTCAACATCTTAACAAACATAGCATTGTTTGTAAGTCATAGATAGAAAAACTAACTTTGATTGAATAAGTTTGGATCAATAGAGTGATTTGGATATGATATAGTTTACTCACCTTACAGGTATACAGCATAGCCCAAGAGAATAACCTCAGTGTTCACTTAGATGGAGCGAGGGTTCTTAATGCAGCGGCAGCCCTGAAAATACCTGTGTCGGATATTTTACAGTACACTGACTCTGTCAATATGTGTTTCTCCAAGGTAACTTATAGTAAAAGCTCCTGGCAATCTAGTATTCTCTTATAGGATTTCTTACTTCTTACTACTTTATCTCATATGATTAATGCTCAATATATATTATCAGTAAATTGTATTTTGCTGAATTTCAGAATTTTTTAATCAATTTGACAAAACGACCTGTTATATAGGATAACAATAGTAATATCAGTGTCTAATTAGGGTCTGTTCTGTGTCAAAGTTCTCAACATCAACAGGCAACCTTCAGAATATTGAACCTGTTATTGTGGTAAAGAAAAGTGCAATTTTAAAATAAACTTTTAGAACAGACAGGATTTTGCTGTTTTATTTTAGCAGGTCTGAATCATAGGATCTTTAGATTTAGATTGTAGGACCATTAAAAGGCCATTCTCAAAAGTCTATCATAGATTAACTTGATTGAATACTGATAATGAATTCAATAGCTTTGAATTAATAGCAATGGATACACATTTTCTCTATATCTGTCTTCACATAATGAGTCAATAAGAATGTCATGATTTCCTAAAAATGGTAGCAAAACAAAAATGAAATTTCTTTTGTCAGGGCCTGGCTTCTCCAGTAGGATCCATTATAGCAGGGACAAAAGCCTTCATAGCGACGTATGTGTAAATTCTTATCTCACTAATCTCCATTTAAACATTGTCCTCCCCATCCTCTCCGTAATACATGAACCTTGACCTCAGACACAATCTTTCCCACCCACCCAGCAATACATAAACCTTGACTTCAGACACACTAAATTTCCCATCCACCCAGCAATACATGAACCTTGACCTCAGATACTATCTTTCCCATCCACCCAGCAATACATGAACCTTGACCTCAGACACTATCTTTCCCATACACTCAGTAATACATGAACCTTGACCTCAGACATTGTCCTTCCCATCCACTCAGTAATACATGAACCTTGACCTTAGACACTATCTTTCCCATCCACCCATTAATACATGAACCTTGACCTCAGACACTATCTTTCCCAACCACCCAGCAATACATGAACCTTGACCTCAGACATTATCTTTCCCATCCACCCAGCAGTACATGAACCTTGACCTCAGACACTATCTTTCCCATCCACCCAGCATTACATGAACCTTGACCTCAGACACACTAAATTTCCCATCCACCCAGCAATACATGAACCTTGACCTCAGACACTATCTTTCCCATCCACTTAGTAATACATGAACCTTGACCTCAGACATTGCCTTCCCATCCACTCAGTAATACATGAACCTTGACCTTAGACATTGTCCTTCCCATCCACTCAGTAATACATGAACCTTGACCTCCGACACTATTTTTCCCATCCACTCAGTAATACATGAACCTTGACTTCAGACACAATCTTTCCCACCCACCCACAGCAATACATGAACCTTGACCTCAGACATTGTCCTTCCCATCCACTCAGTAATACATGAACCTTGACCTCAGACCTTGTCCTTCTCATCCACTCAGTAAAACATCAACCTTGACCACAGACATTATCTTTCACATCAGCTCAGAAAAATATGATGGTTGACCTCAGACATAGTGCTTCCCACACAGATCATCCACCCACTGTTATGACACATGTTCATCCAAACACACCATCAAACATCTACAGACTCATCCGTCTTCCTTGTACTGTGTACAGTTACCATTTTTAGCACCATGTTGGTGAATTGTACGTGTAAATGTTTTAAATTTGTAAAGCAGTAACCCAAGATGTAAACCCTTGTAAGCTTAGTCACTAGATGTTAGGAGTAGGATGTTGATCTAATTTGAGCTAATGCACATTATTTCAACTGTGTTTGATCATTTCAAGATGCTATTTCTGTGGTCTTCTTGGCTGAAATGTACACCTCTTGAAATGTCACTAATTGTCCATTGTGAAGGGCTCTGAGAATGAGAAAGGCCCTAGGTGGGGGCCTAAGACAGTCAGGGATCCTCGCGGCCGCAGCTATTTATTCACTGGATCACATTGTCCCACGCCTTGGAGATGACCACATTCATGCACAGATGCTTGCCGAAGGTACAGTCACTGATAAAACTGTGGTATTTAACATGTAATTGTTATATACTCCATATATATATACTGGCGATCCCATTGGCCTGTTCCTAGACATGTGACTAGATCTCAAAACTCACGCAGGTCAGTTTTCCGATGAGTATCAATCTCTAAATATTATTCAGGGGAATCCCCGTTACCTTTGCTGTGTATAGTCAGTTGTTTAATAAATAAATATTTTAAGTGTTTATCTTCTGTTTGGGTATTTTTTAACATCAAAAATATAAAATATTGTTCAGCAAGTAAGGCTCCGGATGGTACATTTGGAAACTAACAATACATTATAGAATATATGGCAGGTCAAAACCTGGAATTCAATCCACACAATTAAGTGTTTTATTTTTCATCTGCTTTTTAAATTCTTATGTTGAAACATAAAAAAAAAAGACAGTACAGTATGTCACATGACAGTACAGTATGTCACATGACAGTACAGGAAACTACTCAAGTATGTAACTTTGACTTTTTATATACAGGAATAATGTCTGTGGACCAAAATGTTGCCAGTATAAATGTGGATGATGTGCATACCAACATTTTGATGATAACTGTTGTGTCAGAAAGAGTGTCTGCAGAGATGGTGGTTAACAGACTTACACAGGTAAACACTGTTGTAACACTTGTAAATTACAAAATCTCAGATGTCGTTTTATCAAAAGCTATTATTGGAAAAAAACATCTGTGTTTAAAGTCATCCAGTTATTGAGTGTCCATAATATTAAAGAATTGTGTATACTAGGAAAATTCATCTATGAGGCAAACAAATTAAGGGTATTGTAATAGAATATGATTGTTTTCATCCTCTGTACATTGTCCATGATTTGTGTATAATATGTATTGTATACTGATCATGGGCCAATGGCTCAAAGTTTGAATAAAACTTGAAATATACTTCAATAAGAATATTTATTGTTACTGGAGGTTTTAAGGTTCTTTAGCTAAACATGTATTACCCTGCCAAGAACAAAAATTCACTATCAGGTGCATTAAAATGTTCTAGTTGTTAAAAGTCAATAGCGTTTTCAACAAATCATGGCATATTTTATTTTCTTTTTATAACTCGTGTGTATTTTGATTCCCTGTCTAAATAAGCAATACTGTGCAAATCGGGTTCTCAAGCATTCACTTGTAAATTTTATTGAAAAAAATGTTTTTAGTTAAAGGATATAAACGGGTTTTTTCAGACATTTTGCTAGATTTTCTCCAGTGCAAATAATATGTAGGTACCTTGTACAAAATAGGGTGTGAACAAGGAAGGTTGAATTTTGGGCCAAATTGTTCTTTGAGGAGTCTAACTAGGGCAGAGGATAAACCAGATTTTTTAATGTTATAAAAATATGTTAATTTGACAATAATTTTCAAAGGTATATTGAAATGAAAGATAATAAGTGAAAAATTAAGGAAAAAAAAAAATCCCAATTTCTTTTATAAACATCATATTTGGTAAATAAGGACTCTTTCCTGGTGTAGTGGTTTTTTTACATCGCGCATGTGAAGATGCTCCACCATTGCAAAAAAAATTGTTGCTATGCAGAAATAGCTCAAAATGTAGCATGTTTTGACATTTAGCATGGACAAATGTGTGACAACCGAAAATGACTTTCTATGAATGAACACTGGTATGACAATTTTTAAGCATGCATATTTGTTTTTGGTTGGTGCATCCACAGGCTTTCAAAAACTCAACAGTATTTAGTCAGTTTGCTTCAAAATGGCAAATTTTCACATAAATAGCATACAATAGACAATATTCATGCATTTTACTGTGAAAATGTGTAAAATATAACCTTAGTTTTTTGTTCACACACTACATGGGATATAGTATTGACACACCATTGGAACAGGAAATCAAGAAGTTCAGAAAATAGCCTTAAAAGCAATAACTACTTACCTGTTTTATCTGTGCAGGTAACAGCTGCTGAGGAGAATGAACTAGGATGTCGAGTGGCCATCAAGGGAATGGTTTGGGGACCCAAACTAATACGCTTAGTCACACACAATGACATATCTTCAACTGACCTTCAGAAAGCTGTCCACAAAATGCAGTTTATCCTCAAAGAATTTTCATCTTAATAATGTCACTACATACCTCAAATGACTACCGGTAGTTCATATACAAAAGGCAGTTGACTATTGACATGAAAATAGACAGTCAACCCTTGCTTAATTGAAGTGTATTACCCTCAAAGTCCCGGATACTGTAGTATAAACAGTAAACGGACACCAAGCCAGGTGCCCAATGGCTGTACAATTGATATCTCCCTGCACTAGGTAACAAGACAGCCTATAATTGAAAGATAACTGAAACAGCAATTAATTTACCACTTGACTTTCAGGTTATTATTTCACAAAGTGTTAGCCCATAAAACCTTGGGAAAAGGGATTTTATTATTTTATCTTCATGTATGACACAAAGTCCAAGTCATTGCTGTACTTCAGTAGATGCACCCTCACGAATGTTAGTGTATGTATAAGGTAGCAGTGTACAGTAGCGTACGGTGGCCATGGGTGATATTTTTGTACAGTGAATAACCCCTGTAATATTACATGTATCAAAACTTTAAAAAAAAAAATAGCTCTAAAATTGGTAACCATGGTTTTCACAAGTCCCAAATCTGGGGAAATCACTTTTTAAACAAAAATTCATTCTTCTAAAAAAACGTATTCAAAATGTAGTTTATAAATATATATATATGTAGGTGTGTTGTGCAGGATGAATCCGCTATCCAAGTTTATCCGAGACATGCCCTTTATTTTTAGGGTCAAGCCATTTGTACTGTACTCAGCTACCTTACAGCTGGTTTTTACCACAGGATTCTAATATTACTGTATGTAGTTCGTATTTTTCATGTTTTTTGAAGGGCCAGTTGGCTGAAAAGCTAGGTTGAGTGGATTTTGTAAACATTGACTTTGAGCATTGTTGAACTATCTAAAGAGCCATAATTTTAAGTGTGGTCTCCTTAAGCTTCCATACGGATGAAGGGATTTGAACTCCATGCTGTAAAGCAAAGTTTGTGCCCCCATCCTTTAAATTTGTGTATAAATTACACAGTGTGTCAACAAGTATCCCGGTGACAATGTTTTTCAGTTGGTCTTTACGTTGCATTGAGGTTAACTTGTATGCCCATTTCCCTACAAGATGGTAAGAATGAACAGGAAGTCAGTCTACATTGTGTGGGTAGACCTTATTCAATTGTGTACCTCAACCAGGTTTATATACTCTTTTACCTACAACTACCTTATTTTGTATGCAAATAACATATCCTCATGGGATGTCGGAGTGTCATACTGAAAACAGGTTTAAATTGAGTCTCAGGATATACAAGTACAGAGTTTTGACCTTTTTTACACCCCTACATAGTAGAGGGGGCATATTATAATTGTGTGTCCAACTTCATTAAACTTTTGATTTCATGCAATTTTAATATGATTCCCTATAATTTATACATCAGTATTTTGAAACCATCCCCCACCCTCAAAATTGTCTTACAATGTAAACATCCCCAATCTTTTTTGTTTTTTTTACCCCCATCAACAATTGGTTTGCGAGAACTTATCCCATGTGGATTAAATAACCTGTAACAAAAGGACAAAATAAGTTGACCAGTGCCTCTTGGTCTTTGACAACTATATGGTTGGCAATCTGATCATCAACTTCGTATACAATACTAATCTGGACCTCAGCTGGGAATTTTTGCCCATGTTTCACTCGTCAATCATTATTACCATTTTTCTAAAATTTTAGCTGGATTATTGTAGAATAATTGTTAAGCATTATATATGTTCATAACTATTTTTTATAGGAAGAACAATATTGTCTACATCGTGAAATGTTTGGATTTATTGGGTTCAATTTTATACATGCATTTCTACCTCAAATTTATCTGTTGTAGGGAGCTTTAATTATTGGTTAATTCCATTTACATATCAATATATGTAGCATAACCTATGTATGTACAAAATTAGTTGCTATGTGATTTAGTTATATACTACAGGCTAAGTTTGTTTTGAACAGGAATTGAAAACTCATGTTTTCATTCAAAACAAACTTGGCCTTTATTATTCATACCATACTGATGAATCTTATTCCTAATAGTTTTATACTGTTGTTCAATACTTTGTTAATGTAGGACTTACAGAAATACATATTCTGAAAATTACTTTTCTACTTGACATATTGTGTAGATGTCTGCTAAACAGTACAATAGAAGATATAGACGTCCAGTACGGTAATTAAAAAGGAAATGTTATATATTTGTTGCATTGCAAACCAGTCCATGTATCCTAATCTTGTTTGTCATAGAAAAAATAGATGTATATCAGCGTCCTGATGGTAGAATGTGATCTAACAATCTACATTATAGTGCTTTACCTTGTACTTTTTGTTTTTAATAAAGCAATATATCATTTGTATGAGAGCACAATTTTATAACGGGCATTAATAACATCAACCAGCTGATCTAATTGTGACAAGTATTACGTGTTAATAAATAGGGCATGATGTTTTATCAATACTTTATGCACAGGTGCAAATTTGATGGGATGTTGCTTTTTAATCATCAACTTGCCTTGTTTGCATCCCTGTATTTATAATTGACTACATATCCTATATTTTACCTTTTTTGTGAGAATTTACAATAAATCTACAATTGCCGTCCTTTTGTTTGTTCTGATTTAAACAGTGTCTAAACTGATCACTTATAACATTGTATACAAGTGTTGAGTTACAAGTTAGAAAAGCCTATCACAATGGGCTTACATTTACACTGGATCACCAGGGATGTATTGCTGATCAGCCATACAATTATATATTACTAATTATATTCCAATGCAGAATTAGCTTCTGTAGTCCCTCCAAGTTTCCCACTTTCAATACATACATATTTGCATATAGTGCCCCCCTTTTTTTTTTTATTGCAGAACGTGTTTCAGTTTACCTATGGTGTTTACCTGGTTAGTTCTTTATCTTTCCAGCATCAGTTTCTTCCCGAAGAAGAAAAATTGAATTGTTTTTTTGGAGTTGTACCTTTACATTATGTGGACATATAGTATATGGTAACTAAATATGAGAACCCTATAAGAAAAATCTGTTGTCTTAGATAAAAGTCATAAAACTGTCTGAACAAAGAAAACAGGCACACAAAGGCATTGTTTACATTTATTAATCTATATCCAAAAGAGCATGGATTAGTACTACATTTAATTATAGCATAACAAAGCTGCATTAAAAGGGCTTGAATATTAATGTTCTTTAAAAACTAGATGTAACACTGATCAAACATCAACACATAATCTTGTTCACCAATTTGATTTCAATTGTGAAAACAAATGTTTCAGGGTGAAAGAGGTAAAAATAACCAAGTGATGATGATTTAATTGTGTGAACCTCTAAAAAAATGATTTGATGAGATGTACACTGTATAATTGTGTAACAAAACATAGATATGGTGCACACCACACCTTCAGTAAAGGGATGTTTGGTCAAACTTGCCAGTAATGGAAATTACGGCTGAGAAATCTTATTCCTTTCCTGTTCAGTGGAGTGGAAAAGTACAAATCATATTCACCTTGTTATTGGGTGAAACACACCCTCCCCCAAAGATTTAACACAGTATATCAAGTTTGGTAAACACACCCTCCCCCAAAGATTAAACACGGTACACAGAGTTTGGTAAACACCCCCACCCCCAAAGATTTAACACGGTATACAAAGTTTGGTAAACACCCCCACCCCCATAGACTTAACACAGAGTATACAAAGTTTGGTAAACACCCCCACCCCCAAAGATTTAACACGGTATACAAAGTTTGGTAAACCTGCATCTAATCAAGGAAATTTGAGCACTAAAATGAATTTCATTTATTGCTCAGTGGATTTGTGAATAGTACACATTGTGACCTACTTAAATAAAAAAAATCTTTGATACTGCGGGAATCGAAAAATATAGGCAACTATAAACTAAATTACATTTGTGAAAATCAGTTCACACAATTCAAATACATCACTGGTCTCTTAGTGTGCCTAAATTTCACCCTAAAAATCTTACAGCATATCAAGTTTGGTCATTTTGCATAAAAATGTCAAAGAACAATGACCTGAAAACAGACATAGGCATGCACATATACAGACTACAACAATATCTAGGTCCTCTACTCTCTAACACCTACAGGGAGAATAATGCGTATACAAAATTCATTCAAATAATAAAATAATTTGTACAGTAAATTAAACGTGGTTTGTAATAGGAATCAGCCGTACAGGATTGTTAAAATTGTATATTCACTTCTGATGTAGTAAAATATTTAGATTTATCTGATTATTGCTAAAAATGTTTAAGTACATTTTGTTAAAAATATAAAGAGTTTGGCACTTGCTTTTTGTTACATTTCAAATTCATATAAGCTAAAACAAATTTCATATCGCACAATCTTTCTGTAAAATGTATCTTATGATAAAATGGGACTAAGGTAGCATACATTCATATCTTTAAACTAATTACTTTACAACTTCTTAAAAATTATCAAGTTAAGTTATCTTGTAGTTGAATCCTAAAATCAATAAATAACATTGTTGAGTATTTATGATGTGGCTGGGGTTAGTGACTGTTCGTGATATTTGACAAAGGGGAGAACAGTTTACGACTAGCCAACAGTTTCTCCGACGACTGTTGCAGTATGACTGTAGGGGTACAGTTCTCCTTGTCCTTGATTGGAGACTGGAAACACATCCGACACACAGCCAAGTATTTGTCCGCTCCACCAATAACTTCCACCTGTCAGAACAAGTTGACTAGGGTTAGATAAAAAAAGACAGACAATGCTAATGCAACAATTCACCAGAATTTCTTGATGCTGGAAAAATGCCCTGAACATTTTCTGTGTATGCATGGGATATTTTCATATCAACATGGGTTTCATTGCCCAATAACAGATGTATAGTTTGATGTGTCAACATTGAAACTTTTACGGCTTGTCTACAGCTATTTTGGGATAGACAATCAAGTGATGAAATAATGTTAATTGTTGAAGTTTGAAAATGGGTGAAAGTAAGCATTAATATTATATTTCGTTTTCCTCATTATGATTTCCTGTATTTGACTTTGGTAGAAGAAATAGTACTTTTTTCCTGAGTTAAACATTCTTGCCACATTATGAAAATATATACTTAAAGTTGACAATGCAAGCAAGTTAAAAAACTTTCAATTGATATTAAAAAAAAATATTTTTTTTTTTCTTCTTTTGAGATCTTCCCCCATCTCTTCCGACTATCGTTTCTAAGGAAGTGCTGACATTTTAGTTTGTCATACTGCAAAGAAAAATGTCGCACGGTGATTGGTCGAATTGCTAAGGTACCTGAAGCTATGTTAGTATCCTTGCCGGGGTACATAAGAGCATGCGCGCCTGTTGTAAGGGAGATAACTCGCAGCTTCGAATCGAACACACCGGAGAACGTTCGTCTGCTAATGTCAACAATGACCAAAATGGCGAAACGGTTTGCAAGCCACACGGAGAGGGAAATTGAGACAAAACGGGCGTCACTTATACCTACAAACACAAAGAAAAGTAACACAATTCAGCAAGCAAAACCTTCAGAGCATACTTAAGCGAAAAGGAGCAAGACACAGATTTTGAGGACTTCTCGAAGCCAAGATTAGACGAGGCATTGGGCCATTTTTATCTCGATGCAGGGAAACAGGATGGGAGGCTTTACAAGACGACAACGCTTGAACATTGCTTTGCAGTATGACAAATTCGTTATACAGGTCTTTGGCAGGGTACATAAGGTCCTGACAGCGAACATGAGACAATGTACCCTGCCAAAGACCTGTATAACTAATATTGGTCCTTGCTCGGTAACGAGTATGGGTCTCCCTGGGTATAAAAAGCACATTACCCATCAAACTGGTTATCATTTGTTCAACATGTGTGCAAGGTGACACTACTATACTATACTATATATAACACTTTCACGATTTTTGAACCAATTTTTTTAACAGATCAGTTGAATAAAACTGAAATGAAACACATCAAGGATATCATTTATCTAATAAAAGTGGTTACAATAGTGAATTACTACCAATTGAAATATATAATGCACAATCCTTCCAAATAAAAAAACACAAAACAAACAGCCCTAAAAGAAACAAACATACAACTATCGCCAATGCCTACCTTTTAATTATCCAACTAGTAATAACATCCTATGTTAAAACAATTCAATTATCCAAATTCATATGGGTTTTCTCCAGGGAATATGTTTTCTCCCACATTTAGACCAGTTGGGAAATAAATAAGTTTATATTTTTAGGTCACCTGAGCTTTAGCTCAAGTGACCTATTGCTATCCGTCTTTATCCGTCGTCCGTTAACATTTTACATTTTCAACTTGCCTTCATCCGTCATCGTTCGTCCGTTAACATTTTCAACTTAAGCTGAAATTCTGGCAAAGGGATTTCTTTTTTATTTTATGGGAAGGTTACTGACATCTCCCTGACCAAGTGTTGTTATTTTTCGGGTCGATCAGAAATCCAATATGGACGCCATTTTGAAAAACTATTTCAAACTTAAAGTCAAGTTCTGCTGGGCCGATTGAACTGAAACTTTGTAGGAATGATCGACTCATGGTCCTGACAAAGTGTTGTTATTTTTCAGGTTGATCAGAAATCCAATATGGACGCCATTTTGAAAAACTTTTTCAAACTTTAAGTCAAGTTCTACTTGGCCGATTGAACTGAAACTTTGTAGGAATGATCGACTCTGGTCCTGACAAAGTGTTGTTATTTTTCAGGTCGATCAGAAATATAATTTGGCTGCCATGGCTGCTATTTTGAAATTACCTATTTCAAACTTTAAAACAAGTTCTAATAGGCCGATCTAACTGAAAATTGGTCTAGGAATGATCAGCTCATGGTCCTGACAAACTTGTGATAATTATAAACATAACAATTTTTTACTCAAATTGGTACATATTTCAACAACAATAAGAAATACTGTAGGACTCAGGTGACCTTTAAGGCCCATGGGCCTCTTGTTTTTCTCACATTGTTGATTACACAACTGGGAGTGTAACATTTTGCACATATTTTGCTAGTAAAGCGTCTACACGACGAAGATTACGAGTTCATAATATAGTATCTTGTGTTGTTGCAGTCCTATGCATGTGAAATACCGATGATATATATGGGATTTATAGAAGTATTTTCAGTAATACACCTTTTATTTTGGATACACGATTTTTGAGAATGTGCTTTACGTAACAACCAGCTTGGAAGTGTTTCATAGTCTACAGGTGGGTGCATTTGATTTTTGATATTGTTTGCCGATCAGGGTGCACAGTGCTTTGAATTGCAAGATGGACAGTTGTAGAATGACAACCGGTTTGTCAGGTAATGCACTTTTTATACCCAGAAAGACCCATACTCATTCCAAAGCAAGGACAAACTAAAATGTCGACACTTCCTTAGAAACGTTAGTCGCAATAGATGGGGAATATCTCAAAACCAGATTTATTTTTATCTCAATTGAAAGCTTTTGGACTTGCACTGTCTGCTTTAAGGTGACACTACTGCAAAGAAAAAGCAGACGAGAGAGATAAAAAGAGGTTTTAATTGGGGCAGCATATCAACTTTGGTTTCCTTATGTTCCCTTAACAGAACACAAAGAATTTAACAGGAATCTGCAGGGGCCCTATAACATGCAGTGGGATACCGCTGGCATATCCTATCCCAAGGATACCGCAAGCATATCCCATCCCAAGGATACCGCAAGCATATCCCATCCCAAGGATACCGCAGGCATATCCTATCCCAAGGATACCGCTGGCATATCCTATCCCAAGGATACCGCAGGCATATCCCATCCCAAGGATACCGCAGACATATCCTATCCCAAGGATACCGCAGGCATATCATATCCCCAGACAGACAGGAAATTAGCTGTAGTAGAATAACATTAACTTAAAAGAAACATATAGTTGAAAATAAAAAATTCTGTGCACTTTCAAGGTTGTACAATTAACCAATGCACCAGGGTAGTATATTTTGCAAAAGAGAATCTGGAATGTTTTCAAAATCTGCCCAATGGCTAGTACCTGGTATTCAAAAAATTCAATTTCAATGTAATTTGAATTTTTTGCAATACATTCCTCTTCCCTTTGTTACCTCAGCCCTTGAACTGAAAGAATGCATTAAATACTAGAGCTATTATATATCACTGAGAAAATACTTGGTTATTATTATTACAGTAACATTTCTCACCCCTACCCACTACTCACCTCTTTCTCCTGTCCCTTCCTCTTAGTAAAGGTACCCTCACCACTACACTTCATACACACTGCCGACAGCTTTATCACACTTTCTGCCAGTGGTACCAAGTTTAAAATATCACCAAATCCCTGAAACAATTTCAACAATATCTTCCAATTCCAAGTACATGTAAAACAGTCACATGTGGAATTTCCCTTTCAACAACACTTGAGCAACATTGAAATGTGTAGACCTTTATTATGAAAATTCATAATTAAAATAAAGATAATTACAAAAACAGACAAAATTCTTCATACTTCTTACTAGCATTCCATTTGTACTAGCATTTAACAAGCATTTCATGTTATATATTTGTTATGATATTTGATTGGACACTAGACCAAGAAATGGATTTAAGCTTGGTGACTTTCAAATCTCATCACAAATTATGCTGTCTTTCAAAACATGTTGCGTTTGGACAATTTCATATTTTATGGTTCATTTCTGAATTTGAATATGACAATCTAAATGGAATAATGTTTTCTTACAAGTTATAAAAAGTTTTAAATCTGAATGATTTGAAATCCATTTGTCCATGTAACTATCACTCACTATGCGAGTACATTGAGCTCCTCATATAATTTTGTATTGACCTTGTTCTGATATTCTGTATTGTTTTTATGCTTAATTTGGCAGATATGATGAAATCCCAGTACCACCACTAAAACTGTCATTATAAAGGCAAATATAATTTACCTTTTTCTGGAAATCTCCATCCAAAGCAGATACTATCACAATTTTACCATTCTCTGCCATATTATCACAGAATGATACCACATCTGGAAACTGAAATAAAAGTATCAATTACAATGACATATAATCACATAGGTATTGACTATCACAAAAATTTGAAATAGAATTATTCTGGGGAAAGGAATAAATCTTTCAGCTATTCTAACTATCTGAATCATTGAAGTTGGTCATTTCTGATTATCTAATTGTTTCATAACTATTAATATAATATTTAAACCTATGATACAAGTGTTAACTTTAAAAACTTACAAACTGTCCTTCATCTACACCAATGACGTTGTAACTCTCCCCCAAGACTTCCATGTCGGCCAATCTCTCTGCAGCTACTGCCGGTAAGGTTTGTCTGATGAACAAATTTTAAATGACCATTATGTCCTTTTTTATTACCTTTAATATCAAAGTTTTACTTTCTCCACAAACAATGTTCATATTAAATGTGTCACAATATTTCAAGACTGACTGGTCCCTTTGTCAAGCGATGACTGAGTGAGCAATTTGTATTTTTTTTACCTGTACAGCAATGCGACGAAATAGTATATTTTTTGTCATTCGACCCAGGAAACTTTGCCTATCGATAGGGAACATGAACACGTCTCTGTTCATGTTTTGAGTTTTCCTGATTATGAATGCTTCTTTGATTTCTCATTTTTGTGTGTTGTAAACTTGTTCCCTTTCAACTATCTTGTCTTTGTCCCAATCGACGATGTGAATCTGGGTGTTAGCGTGATCTGTTAATGCTGTTTTATTACTTATCCCTTTATCCCTTCACAAATCAAAGAAGCAATCAAAATCAGGGAAAACTTGAAACATGAACAAGACGGGGGGGGGAGCCGAGTCATCTGTATGACCCAATATTGACATAACAAGGGAGGGGGCTAGATCTACACCCTACCTATAATCTATCTGATGCAGTGTGTTTCGTATACACAAGTTGATAGGATTTCTCAATCGTTTAAGTAGTTTTAGTTTTAATTTTGCTATTATAATTACCTGTCATGTGTTGCAAGCCCCTCCTTTTCATATCGGTCATCCTTCGAGTATTTGATGACAAGACATTTGTAATTGGCAATTTGATACCTCTTCATTCTTCTCATCAATTCTGTACTGTAATCACAAATTTCAAACTTGTTATTTAAACACTATACAGATTTTTTAACAATAAAAACTTTTAACTATTGGCACTGAAATGGTTAAGGTTTCATTTTGTTTAACATCCTATCAACGGCTAAGGTAATTTATGTTGTGTATGCGTGCATGTGGACTGGAGGCATGGACTGTTGGTGCATGTGTAAATGTGGGCTGCAGGCATGGACTGTTGGGGCATGTGTAAATGTTGTCTGGAGACATGGACTATTGGTGCATGTGTAAATATGGACTGGAGGCATGTACTGTTGGTGCATGTACTGTTGGTGCATGTGGAAATGTGGACTGGAGGGATGGACTGTTGGTGCGTGTGTAAATGTGGACTGAAGATATGGACTGTTGGTGCATGTGGAAATGTGGACTGGAGATATGGACTGTTGGTGCACGTGTAAATGTGGCCTGGACACATGGCCTTTTGGTGCATGTGTAAATGCTAAGGTAATTTATGTGGTGTATGCGTGCATGTGGCCTGGAGGCATGGACTTTTGGTGTATGTGTAAATGTGGATTGGACACATGGACTTTTGGTGTATGTGTAAATGTGGATTGGAGACATGGACTGTTGAAATGTGGACTGGAGATATGGACTGTTGGTGCGTGTGTAAATGTGGACTGAAGATATGGACTGTTGGTGCGTGTGTAAATGTGGACTAGTACTGGAGACATGGACTGTTGAAATGTGGACTGGAGGAATGGAATGTTTGTGCATGTGTAAATGTGGACTGGACACATGGACTTTTGGTGCATGTGTAAATGTGGACTGGAGGCATGGACTGTTGGTGGTTGTGTAAATGTGGAGTGGAGGCAGGGACTGTTGGTGCATGAGTAAATGAGGACTGGAGACATGGATTGTTGGTGCATGTGTAGATGTGGACTGGAGACATAGACTGTTGGTGCATGTTTAAATGTTGACTGGAGCCATGGACTGTTGGTGTATGTGTAAATGTGGATTGGATACATGGACTGTTGGTGAATGTTTAAATGTGGACTGGACTCATGGACTTTTGGTGTATGTGTAAATGTGGATTGGACACATGGACTTTTGGTGTATGTGTAAATGTGGATTGGACACATGGACTTTTGGTGCATGTGTAAATGTGGACTGGAGACATGGACTGGAAACATGGACTGTTGGTGAATGTGTAAATGTGGACTGGAGACATGGACTGTTGGTGCATGTGTAAATGTGGATTGGAGGCATGGACTGTTGGTGAATGTGTAAATGTGGACTGGAGACATGGACTGTTGGTGCATGTGTAAATGTGGACTGGGGGCATGGACTGTTGGTGCATGTGTAAATGTGGATTGGAGACATGGACTGCTGGTGAATGTGTAAATGTGGATTGGAGGCATGGACTGTTGGTGTATGTGTAAATGTGGACTGGAAGCATGGAATGTTGGTACATGTGTAAATGTGGATTAGTACTGGAGACATGGACTGTTGGTGAATGTGTAAATGTTGACTGGAGACATGGACTGTTGGTTCATGTGTAAATGTGGATTTGAGGCATGGACTGTTGGTGAATGTGTAAATGTGGACTGGAAGCATGGAATGTTGGTGCATGTGTAAATGTGGACTAGTACTGGAGACATGGACTGTTGGTGAATGTGTAAATGTGGATTGGAGGCATGGACTGTTGGTGAATGTGTAAATGTGGACTGGAAGCATGGAATGTTGGTACATGTGTAAATGTGGACTAGTACTGGAGACATGGACTGTTGGTGAATGTGTAAATGTGGACTGGAAGCATGGAATGTTGGTACATGTGTAAATGTGGACTAGTACTGGAGACATGGACTGTTGGTGAATGTGTAAATGTTGAATGAAGACATGGACTGTAGGTGAATGTGTAAATGTGGACTGGAGGCATGGACTGTTGGTGCGTGTGTAAATGTGGACTGGAGAGATGGACTGTTGGTGCATGTGTGAATGTGGACTGGAAACATGGACTGTTTGTGCATGTGTAAATGTGGACTAGTGCTGGCGACATGGGCTGTTGGGGAATGTGTAAATGTTGAATGAAGACATGGACTGTCGGTCAATGTGTAAATGTGGACTGGAGCCATGGAATGTTGGTGAATGTGTAAATGTGGACTAGTACTGGAGACATGGACTGTAGGTGAATGTGTAAATGTGGATTGGAGACATGGACTGTTGGTTCATGTGTAAATGTGGACTGGAGGCATGGAATGTTGGTACATGTGTAAATGTGGACTAGTACTGGAGACATGGACTGTTGGTACATGTGTAAATGTGGACTGGAGACATGGACTGTTGGTGAATGTGTAAATGTGGACAAGTACTGGAGACATGGACTGTAGGTGAATGAGTAAATGTGGATTGGAGACATGGACTGTTGGTTCATGTGTAAATGAGGACTGGAGGCATGGAATGTTGGTACATGTGTAAATGAGGACTAGTACTGGAGACATGGACTGTTGGTGAATGTGTAAATGTGGACTGGAGGCATGGACTGTTGGTGCATGTGTAAATTCTGTCTAGCAATATGGTGACAAACTTTAACCAGTGATTGCAATATATAATACATAGGTTTATAAACCACATTTCTGTATCAAAATAAGCAGAAAATATGCAAGTGACCCGACCGCAAGGGACCACAATTATTTCACTCTTTTGTAGTAGTCACATATTCAAATTAATCACTTGCTACCAGTGCAGCACTTTGATTGAATTTAAAATATTTATCATAGGAAGATTTCAAATCAAGAAATTTTCAAATCAAGTATTGGAACTTAAAACAAATTATAAAAAAATTATGAGTATCCTGATATGTTGCATTTCAATTAATCTATTTTTCTTCATATTTTGATGTTATAAATACTTACGTTTTCCCTGAAAACATTGGTCCAATAATAAGCTAAAAAGAAGAAAAAAAGAAATTTGTATTAGGTATTTCATGTGTTAGTTATGAAATGATTATGCATTATTATTCTAATAAATATTGTTTCGGTCTGAACAAGAGACCGGTAACCAAGTTACAAAGTAACACAAGTACAAAAATCACCTTGGTATGATAATCTGATTGGCAATGATAATTCAGTCATCAACAAAATACCTGGGCTTAACAATCACTAAAAACTTGTCATGGAACACCCACATCAATAACATTACCAACAAGGCAAATTCATCCCTAAGATTCATTCGGATAAGTTTTAAAACCACAAATGTAAAAAAAAAAGAGTTAGCTTATAAAACTGATGTCCGCCCACACATTGAATACTGTAGCCCCATCTGGGATCCATGGCAGGCAAACCTTACCCATAAAGTTGAAATGGTGCAGAGAAGAGTCACCAGGTACACCCCTGGGTGCTATAACTACACCAGTAGTGTTACAGAAATGCTCCAAACCCTGAACTGGCAATCCCTTGAAAAACGCTGTAAAATGACCTCCACCATATTACTATATAAAATCATAAACGGCCTTGTGGCATATGATGGCAACCTCCAAATTCTCCAGCGAACCCGACAACACAAATTCCACACAGCTCCACAAATTATCATGCAAATTCATTCTTTCCTAGAGCAATTCGTACCTGGAACAGACTCCCAACCTTCATCGCCGACAGTGCAGACCTCTCAACACTGAAGACAAATCTCCTCTCTCACTAATTCTAAGTGTACACATTGTTTTTATCATATAGTTCTAAAAAACAAAAATACTTGTTTTTAACCGATCTCTAAATAATGTTCAGTATATTAAACGTTTTTGAGTATCCAGTTGAAGCTGAACAATGTATACGTCTTCAATTTCCATGTGCTTGGTTTAATATGCAACTCTTTCATTTTAAAATAGCTATCTTGGATTTTACTTTTGTTATGGAAAAAACATCTATTGTTTTTATGTGAATTTTTATTTAATTGCATCTTTTGGTTGAATTTGTTTAATTTTTGGATGTATTTCAAATTTAAAGACTGAAAATTTTGATGGGTCAAACCACGGAATTAGATTATCCAAGTCCGTGGTCAAAAGCAGCAAAAACGCTAATTAATTAAAGCACCAAAAACTGTTTACCAAATGATATTTAATAAACAAGACACATTTTAATGATTTTTGTGTGTGTGTGTAAAACTTATCCTCTATAACCTACACTTTTAGCGAAATATACAACGGCCATACAGATACAGGCAGATAGGCCTGTATCTTTGTTTTGAGTGCCTTTTGAAATGGCGCGATTTCTATGTTCGGCTTTGTCCGCTTCAAAAACGTACTTTTCGCAACACATATGATAAGATTGCAATGTAAACAATGAGTGTATATAATGCCATCTTCCGTTAATCAAACACATGTCACATTTGGCCAATGTAATTTGCAAAAATAAGTACATAAATGTAACTCTGAGTTATACTGACACTGTACCTCTTTAGTTTGCAAGCCCTAAGTGACTGGCCATGGTTAAGGTTCAGATCCTTTTACGTCAAAAATTATAACTAGCAGAAATAAATAAGCAAACCTGTATTTGTCCTTTAGAGAAAGATGAGCCGAGCTGAGGTGAAGCAACGACATGGCTTGTAGACATCATCTTGCTGAATTCCAGAAAAAAAATAATGTGGGCAGTACTGTGATTAGTGTACGGAAATGCCGCGGGAGATCGTAGCCTTCTTTAAAGTTCCCTCCATACAAAATCTCGTGATAACGAGAAAAATCAAAACAAAACAAAATAAATTTCATCCTAGCAAAATTAAACAATAAATTATTATAAATACAATTTTAATAGAAGGGTGTTATTTACTAATCCTGAATAAGTTTAATTATATTTGCAAAAGTAAATATTACAAAGCGCCACCTATACATGTTTTCCTTGACAACAACAATGGCGGACCAAGAGGTAAGATTACATTTTACATAATATTTAATGTAACATAGTCTTTGTGATTCGCTTATGTTTAATATTGAAACATTTTCTTTATTCAACTTATGTTTCCCCGATTGTTTCTGAATAGCAAAATTTATCATGGAATGTTCATACATAATATAAATAAGAATTCGCGACTTTTTTTCGGGCACTTGCCTTACGTAGAACTGTCAATTTGGGCTAATGCTATTCGCCCGGCAGACTGTTACCTAAAAGCATAAAGACCATTTGACACATGTCAAATGACTATTCGCCCGGCAGCCGAGTACACAAAAGCACAGAGACTATTCGCCCGGAAGCTGTGCATGTATATATAATCTTGTCGGGTCGTACCCAAATCATTTGATAAATAAAAGTAAATAGACCACAAGTAAGCTTTAGTTTGAAAGACGAGTCCGAATCACACAAGAGTATTTGGTAAAAAAAAACCTACAGATTACCGATTGAGTAGCTATAGACTTGGGCGAGTTGAGCAACACTTCCCCAAAGAAAGCAAAACGTACAATGCAAATGTCATACTTTTATTTAATGTTAGGGTATTTTATTGTCGTGTGCATCATTTATGATTTACCAGGTCGATCTAATTGTCTTTTAAAGTTCCAGTTGCTTAATTTTAATCTGAGTTATTTTTCCAGTGTCATAGCCGGGTGAATAGTCTTTCGCATTCTTGGTACCCGGCAGCCGTGTAAATAGCCACTCCCGTCAATTTCCAAAATCCTATTAAATGCAGTGAAAATGGTCCAATTCACAGTCTGATCATTTTCCCATGCACTGAACACCTCACAGTTGTACATATAAAATGAAAGGCACATGCCATTATATACAGTAGCATATATAGTATTGATGTTGGCAGATTTAAAGTGTACATACGATTCTAGCTTCGAGCTAGAGGGAATTCCCCTTTAGCTCAGTTGCAGAGCGTCCGACAAAGAAACCCAGGGATTGCGGGTTCGATCCCGGACAACACACTATTCTCTTTCCTGTTTAACAGATATTAATTAAAGGTGTAAATTACAATTCCAGGAAGCTGCACCTGCGACAGAGACAACTGAAGAGACCACTGCTGGGACAGATGAGACCCCAGCTGAACCACCAGCTCCTGAACAAGAAACTACTGAAGGTTACAAAGCTTTCTTACTGTTTCATACTACATGCATACCTTTTTCCTGTTCGCTATATCATTTATTATTTAGTTATCTGGGTTTAAATGTGACTGGATCAGATGCTTGATACTGTTTGTTATTGTCTATAGAACCAACAGCAGAGACTGTAGGTGAGGATAAACCAGCTGAAACAGTAGAGGGGGAACAGACAGAAGACCAACCAACAGAACAACTTACCGAACAACCTACTGAAGAATCAACAGAGGCGGACGGAGAACCCACAGAGAAGCAAGAGGGAGAAGAGGCTAAAAAGGATACACAAGATGAGAAACCATCAACAGAAGGTAAATGCAGTTTTTAGTGAAGCAAATTAATTCAGTTAGTAACATTTTTTTTCATTTTCAAGTTTGATGATTAATCTTTATTTATATTTTAAGGTGAGGAGGGTGAGCCAAAGGCAGAAGGTGAAGAAGCATCTGAAGTGATCGAAGAATCAAAAGAGGGAGAAGAAGGAGTAGAGGTGAAGGAAGGAGAAGAGGGGGCTGAAGCTAAGGAAAATGCAGACACTACTGAAACTAAAGAGGGAGAGGAAGGGGCTGAACCTAAAGATGGAGAAGAAGGTGGTGAACACAAAGAGGGTGAAGAAGGGGCCAAATCCCAAGAAGGAATAGAAGAGGGAGAAAAACAAGGGGGTGAGGAAGATACAGAAAAAACAGGAGATGGTGAAGAGCGTGAAGGTGGATCACCAGTCCCTCAGGTATAAACTAAATAGCATATGATTAAATGTATGGGACACATTTAACTCTGAAAACATTATTTTACCATGCATACATAAGTGTTGAATGATTATCATTTTATGAGAAAAAAATGTTTTTATTGTTACTGATAAAGAAACTATGTCTTTCAGAGTGATACATTTGCTGCTGGTGAACGAGCAGAAAGCCCTATTGGTGTTGGAGAGAAGTTATCAAGAGAAGGGAGTCCTACTCAGGAGACTGAAGGGGTACCACAGCCAGACCCTGGTGTCCTTGAACCGGGAACACCAGAACGCTCAAGACCATGTAGGTCTAGATATGGCTATGTATTACTTAACTGTATTGCAAAATTAATTCATTAAATAATACACAAATGTTGGTGTCTGGTAGAGGTGATAATTACTGGGGAACTAAACGCACTCAAAACTGTTAGTTATCATCTATTCATTATCATATACATTCCTGTTTCATTAATTGCAGTAAAATTTAAAAAAGATGATCATTATGTCTTCACAAAACAATCAAAATTCTGGAGATATGGAAAAAGAACCATTCAACAGATTCTAAAATATTCTAGTGACTATTTCATCATGTGACCTGAAAAACAAAAATGACTACCATGTGACCTGAAGAACAATGAGTATCATGTGACATGAGAAACAATGAGTACCATGTAACCTTAAGATTGAGTACCATGTGACCTGAGAACAATGAGTACCATGTGACCTAAAGAACAATGAGTACCATGTGACCTGAAGAACAATGAGTACCATGTGACCTGAAGAACAATGAGTATCATGTGACCCGAAGAACAATGAGTACCATGTGACCTGAGGAATAATGAGTATCATGTGACCCGAAGAACAATGACTACCATGTGACCTGGGTATGATGAAACAAGCATTATGGGATGTAAAGCCTTAGAACAATGGTACAAGAAGAGTGAAGGATTTGTATTGTTGTTATTCCATAATAACTTACACCATAGCTTCTGCCACACTTGGTTGATGTGAAACTGCAGGGAAAAGACAGCGGATACAGCAGATACAGCAGACGTTTATAATGTCTGTTTAGGTATCCAAGGATAAATCAACACAGTGATACAAACTGCTGATAAAATGGATAGGTTTAGAATAATTGATCCTGATAGGGAGGATGATGTTTCTGTTTCAACACTTTCTGAAGAATCAGAAGGATCAGTGACCTCAGTTACTGACCAGGAGATGTTTAAAGATCCAGCTGCTGATGGAAAGGAAGACACAAGGACCCCAATTGTAGATAGAGAGGAAGACAATGTAGCTGTTGATGGAGAGGAAGATTTAGGGGATATGGGAGAAAAAGTAACCGCAGCTGTTGATGGGGTGGAACAGCAAGTAACCACAGATACTGATGGCATTGCTTTTACTGAACAACACAATAATGAGAGCAATTCATTTCCTGAAATAGTGGTCACACTGACTGATCATACTTCAGTCCCTCATGTGAAAATAAAAGGTACCTGACAGAAGAGTGAGCCTTGGTATTAGTGTGTGTAGTTTAAACATTCAGCCATATCATTAATTCAAACATATATACATATTTTCCATATAAATGTCCATCTATTTCAATAAGTAATTAATTATCGATAATTTTGTAAATATATCTTATTATTCTGTGTAAATGTATATATGTTGTACCGGTTCAGGAGAAGACTGATATAGGCACTGCCTGTTGTCTAACCTTTTTGTAAATACAATAAAATTTGTTGAAACCAAATAATGTATTAGATATCAACACCAAATCTGACAGAAGTTATATGTATCATTATCAATGTGCTGTGTTTGCCTCGGGAGTAAATATCACCTCTGTCTATATAGCTGCATGATTTTAAATATTTCACCCTATCCAGGATAAAGACACACACTTGCAAAGATCACAAGTCACTTGATCCTTCAATCATTGATCAGTTATTGAAAAAAGAACACTTTCTTTGTCAGATTTATAACCACCAGATGGTCCCATTATTGTATGCAAATTTCTTTATTTTTTCCAGGCTTTATTTTATTGTAACATATTGCTAATTATACTTCATTGTATGAATTGCTCTCAATCTTTTTACAAATTGATTTTTATGAATGTACATCATGCAGATGGACAAACTAGTTAGTAACCTGAATAGTCAAGTTGTCTTTAACAGTTCTATATCAATATTATTGTTATTGTCTTGTTTCTAATTTTAGCTTCACAAGCTGGTGAACATGATACACACCTGGAAACATTTCAGGAAGAACAAGAAGAGGAGGAAGAAGAAGAGGAGGAGGAGGAAGAAGAGGAGGAACAAGAACCAGAATTTGACAGAGAAGCCTTGATGGAAAAATACTATGTATGTTTAGTAGTTGCAGTTAAGCCTTGATGGATAAATACTTTGTATGTTTAGTAGTTACAGAGAAGCCTTGATGGATAAATACTATGTATGTTAAAAGTTACAGAGAAGCCCTGATGGATAAATACTTTGTATGTTTAGTAGTTGCAGTTAAGCCTTGATGGATAAATACTATGTATATTTAGTAGTTACAGTTAAGCCTTGATGGATAAATAATATGTATGTTTAGTAGTTACAGTGAAGCCTTGATGGAAAAAATATCATGTATGCATGTTTAAATGTTACAGGGAAGCCCTGACAGAAAAATGTTAGAAGCATGTATTGAAAAAATATATTATGTATGTTTAATGGTTACAGAAAAGTCTTGATGGAAAAATAGTATGAATGTTAATCAAACACAAAAATTGTTAGTCTGTGTTTTTAAATCTTCTACTAGCATAGTGCTTACGTACTGTTGTTTTTCTTTTGTAGACCACAATATCTGAAAGAGAAAAGCTTCAGCAGCAGAATTATCAACTGCAACATAAACTGGGAGAGCTATTCCGTAAGAAGAAAGCAGATGACAATCGTCAAGATTATGACAAAAATGCAAATGATCAAGATTCAAAATATGTGAAATACATGGGTAAGTTTTTTAAAGTTAAAATAATACAAGTTACATGTACAGCAGTCTGTGCCTGGTACAGACGTCGCAGAGGAAATGTGGCTCAGGTTCCAGTGATTAACACTTAATTTTGAATGATCACAGGAAAGGCTAATCTGATGTTTACACCAATATTACTCGAGACGATTGGTGACGAGTCCATTGCTGCACTAATAATTACACAGAAATTTAGGTGAATGTTACTGTATCCAAATATTTACATTTTAATCTTGTTAATATGGCATTTGGCTCCCAGCAATAGTTTGGGTTGTTACATTTTACTGTTTTTGAAAATTCCATTCCTGATTACAGGTGTTTGGGTTATGATTAATCTGCCATTGAAAGGGAAGTTGTACTAGTTACTGTCATCATTTTTCAGCACAACTGGATGAGCTGCGTAGACAGGACATGATAGAGCGAGACAACTTTGAGGTGCAGATTGAAGAACTGAAGGACAAATGTGAGCACAAGAAAGAGATGGTGGATGAGGAAAGGAAGCGCTTCATGGAGTTCAAAAAACATGTTGCTCTCAATTCTGTCAGCAACAGATCTGGCAAACCCATCCCACCTAAGGTAGGTTTGCTCAGTGTGAAAGCTACATATTAATTAATTTTGTGAATATATCCTCTTATTTCTCTCTCTATATTTTATCTGAAAAGAACACGGATAAACTCATTGCAGTAAGAATTTCTCATCCCAAGATATACCAATAGGTTGAAAACTATTTTTGATAGGATTAATTTGATCAGGTATTTATTATAAGAAACAGGCATCAGAGTTTCTGTTGTTGTTATAAATTCATGGTAATCAAATAAAATACTTCAATATTTCTGAGTATTTCATATTGATCTCCACAGGATATTGACCAGTACTTATCTAATGAAATGAAGAAGGAGTTGGAAGTAGTGAACGTCCGTTTAGAAAACATCAAACTCAAAAATAAGCTCAAAAAGAAGGAGATGCAGCTGAAATCTAAGGTAAAGTCAGGTGAAACAGGTATATAATTGTTGGCTGAAATCTAAGGTAAAGTCAGGGGAAACAGGTATATAATTGTTGGCTGAAATCTAAGGTAAAGTCAGGGGAAACAGGTATATAATTGTTGGCTGAAATCTTAGGTAAAGTCAGGGGAAACAGGTATATAATTGTTGGCTGAAATCTAAGGTAAAGTCAGGTGAAACAGGTATATAATTGTTGGCTGAAATCTAAAAATACAAGCATGGAGGGCAATAATTGAATTATTACAAAGCTCATCGATACCTGTGTTTGTGTTATACAGAATTACCTCACAGACACATTCAGCATTGCAACTCATCTCAAGGCTGCTGTTATAAAATATTGTATTAAATCTTGTTAACAGAATACGTTGGTCTGAAAACATTATTGGGATGTTAGATGTCATCTAGATCTGTAATACAATGTACAACAATGTTAAAGTAATGAAGGTTAAATGATGTTATGTAACAGCTAAGGAATATGAGGGGAAAATACTGCCTTGCTGGCAAGCTAGCTTTTCCATGCAGTGATACAGTATAACCCGGGGACCCGCTCACTAGCTCAGCAATGTCGAGCGTGGTCAGTAGTTGGATGGGTGACCGCCCGCATGTTACATTTGGTGGCAGCGTAGTGACTCTGTGATCATGTAAGGCCAGTTCCTGATGGTTAGGGAAAGGTGCATTGGTACACAGGGAGGACCGTTGGGATTCCCTAGGCCAAGTCTTGGACAAGACTTCTCGGAGGGGGGAATAGTGTGACATCTAAGGAATTTGAGGGAAAATACTGCCTTACTGGCAAGCTAGCTTTTCCAGTGATGCAGTATAACCCGGGGACCTGCTCACTAGTTAAGCAACGTCGAGCGTGGTTAGTAGTTTGATGGGTGACCGCCCGCACGTTACATAAATAATGGGTATAGTTCTTGTAATTGTATAAGGTGGTATATATTGTAAATAATAGGTATAGTTGTATAATTGTATAAGTTGTTATATATTGCTAATATTGTTCAAATGATATTGTTTACAGGAGGAACTGGCAGAGAATCTTCACCTCATTGATTTTGAACAGTTGAAAATCGAAAACCAAACATATAATGAAAAAATTGAAGAAAGGAATGAGGTTTGTGTGTATACATATGCGGTAAACAGGCAATTATACACATATCAGCGAGTACATGAAGTACATATATAGACAACAGGCAATACTTTTATTAAAATTCTTGTATAGAATAAAAGGTGACTATTTTTCACATTTTGTTTTTTTGTCCTAAAAGAAACCAAATCCAACAATTTTGCAATTCTGTAAGTACAGTATTGCAGATTGTAGCATAACGTCTTCCTAAAAAATGTAGCATTTGCTACTTACAGGATGTGTATTTCTGATAACTACCTTGAAAGTATTCTCACCTGCTTTTTCCCACCCTTTACAGGAGCTACTGAAGCTCAGAAAGAAGATCACCAGTACTGTGCAGGTATTGACTCACCTCAAGGAGAAGCTGCAGTTTGTACAGGCAGAGAACCAGGTCCAGAAGACAACACTGAGGGAGGTCGAGTTTGAGGCTGCCATGGTAAGTTAGGTATCTCAATATTTTCAGAGGCTACTTTGATGTCTGATTTTGTCATGGAAAGGCAAAAATATCAAATAATATCAGGGACCATAATTTTCTTTGTTCCTTACCTAGATCAGAACTCCAAAATTGGATTGCAAGTAATCCTAAGAGGTGGTGAAAAATGTTAAGTATTTATCAGAAATATATTTCCTAACTAGCTAGCTTAAGTATTTTGGCAGCCAAGATTTTAAGCAAAACAAATTCCTGCAAACCAGCAATAACTTGGTGTGTTGCTATACTGATAGTCAGTGTAGCTTCATTACATCCACAAGTACATAGTGTAATAAGCTTTTTTTATTTCAAAGAAACGAGACATATTGTCAAGAACAAAGCAGGCCAGAGACGCACTGCGGATAGACAACCAGAGGCTACGGCAGAACTGTGGCTTACTCGGCAATGAGCCATTGCTTCGTGATTTCGAGGAGAGAAAAGACGAGGGAGATGATCTGAGACAAAGACTAGAAAGTTTGAAAATGGAACATGCAGAATTAACATTAAATTGTAATCAAGTTAGAAGGAAAATAGAGCAAGCTAGAGCCTCCCATGGATAGGAACCATCAACTCATTCCACAGGTCTTTCATCAATCATTTAAGCCATAAGCAAATAATTGTACAAATGTGTATATAATCATCATGTATATAAAACAAAAAGATAAAATTACACTGATCATGATGTAGTAAATCAGATTGATTGTTCTGTTCGTTGTCTGTGATTTTTTTATGATCAATGTAAGTTGATCACCACCATGCATGTGCAGCATTCATTCCTTGGCTGTTAACAGGATATTCCGGTAATTTTCATGCAATAGCATTCAAGATGTTCTTATGATCCTGTAAACCTCACCTTTAACAACTTGAGGACCATGGGGTCTGCATCGCTCACCTGGTATTAATGTCCGACTTGTAACCTTAAAAGTGGACTAAAATACAGCTACAGGCAAAAATTCAGTATCTACAACTCAAGTCATTCAAAAGAAACTTATTTTTTTTACATAGGTCATTAAGTTGAACAAAATTAACAGCCCTTTATCCCAGCATGCATCTTGCCAAATATCACCAGCGAAGACCTTTTTATTGAGATGAGGTCATTTGAATTTTATACACATTTGACCATGTGACCTTGAAAATGATAACTCTTCATCTGAGCCTGTTACTGGCCTAATCCCACCACCCTATGCATTTTGGTTATGAGCTCACCTGCCCAAAGGGCAAGTGAGCTTATGCCATGGTGTGGCGTCCGTCTGTCCGGCGTCAACGTTTTACTTAAACAACTTCTTTTCAGTAACCAAAAGGCCTAGGATGATATTTGACCAGTAGCATCCTGGAATCAAGGGCTACCAAGTTTGTTCAAATGAATGACCTTCATCCATTTTCAAGGTCACAGGTGTCAAATATGTTATAATCTTTGAACGACTTCTTTTGAAGAACCAAGAGGCCTAGGTTAATGATATTTGGCCAGTAACATGCTGGGATTAAGGGCTACCAAGTTTGTTCAAACAAATGACCTTCTCCCATTTCCAAGGTCACAGGGGTCAAATATGTTTAAAACCTTTAAAACAACTTCTTCTCAATAACCAAACAGCCTTGGATGATGATATTTGGCCAGTAGCATCCTGGAATCAAGGGCTAGTAAGTTTGTTCAAATGAATGACCTTCTTCCAGTTTCAAGGTCACAGGGGTCAAATATGTTTTAAACCTTTAAACAACTTCTTCTGAATACCCAAGAGGGAAAGGATAATGTTATTTGGCCAGTAACATGCTGGGATGAAGGGCTACCAAGTTTGTTCAAACGAATGACCTTCATCTATTTTCAAGGTCACAGGGTTCAAACATGTTAAAAACCTTTAAACAACTTCTTCTCAATAACCAAAAGGCCTTGGATGATGATATTTAGCCAGTAACAAGCTTGGATTAAGGGCTACCAAGTTTGTTCAAATGAATGACCTTCATCTATTTTCAAGGTCACAGGGGTCAAATATGTTAAATACCTTTCAACAACTTCTTCTCAGTAACTAAAAGGCTAAGGGTGATGATATTTATCCAGTTTCATGCTTGGATGAAGGGCTACCAAGTTTGTTCAAACAAATGACCTTCGCCCATTTTCAAGGTTGCAGGGGTCAAATATGTTTAAAACCTTTAGACAACTTCTTCTGAACTACCAAGAGGCCTAGGGTAATGATATTTTGCCAGTTAGATGCTGGAATGAAGGGCTACCAAATATGTTCAGATGAATGAACTTTGCTCATATCCAAGGTCACAGGGGTCAAATATGTTAAAATCTTTTGAACGACTTCTTCTGAACAACAAAGAGGCCTAGGGTGATGATATTTGGCCTTTAGCATGCTGGGATGAAGGGCTACCAAGTTTGTTCTAACAAATGACCTTCACCCATTTTCAAGGTCACAGGGGTCAAATATGTTTAAAACCTTTAAAACTACTTCTTCTCAATAACCAAGAGGCTGAGGGTTATAATATGTGGCCTGTAGCATGCTGGGATGAAGCGCTACCAAGTTTGTTAAAATGAATGACCTTGACAATTATTCAAGGTCACAATGGTCAAATATGTTAAAAACCTTTAAACAACATCTTTTCAATAACCAAAAGCCCTAGGATGCTGCTGTTTGGCCAGTAGCATGCTAGGAAGAAGAACTACCAAGTTTATTCAAATGAATGACCTCGACATATATTAAAGGTCACAGGGGTCAAATATGTTTAAAACCTTTAAACGACCTTTTTTCAATAAGCAAAAGGCTAAGGGTGATGATATTTGGCCATTAACATGCTGGGATTAAGGACTACCAGGTTTTTGAACCCATATGCAAGGTCACAGTGGTCAATATATGTTTAAATTTTTATATGACTTGTTCTGTATAACAAAAAGGTCCAGGGTAATGATATTTTGCCAGAAGCATGCTTGGTTGGACGACAATAAACTCTGTTCAACCTTATGTCCTTGTTCGACATTCAAGGTCACAGGCGTCATATGTTTAAATCTTTTAATAGGTTCTTATGAGTCAAACACTGATATTCTGCTGTATTTTAGTCAGCACTTTAAAGATTATTTGTGAGATTAATACCAGGTGAGCGATTCGGGCCCATTGGGTCTCTTGTTCAGAAAATGTTGTTAAAATATTTTCAACACGTTTGACCCCTGTGACTTTGGATATGGGTGAAGGTAATTCGTTTGGACATACCACATTGCTCTTTATCTGAGCATGTTACTGTCCAAATATTATCATCCTAGGTCTTGGTTATTCAGACTAATTTGGTTAAATGTTTTAAACACATTTTTGATACTTAACACACATTTTCAACATGTTTGGACTCCCATTGACATTGAAAATGGGTGAAGGACATTTAATTATACAAACTTGGTAGCTCTTCAACTAAGCATTTTACTGACCAAATATAATCACTCGAACTATTGCAAATATCACAATAGGCCTTTTGGTTATTCAGAAGAAAACCTTGAAAGTAGGTCAAAGTCATACTACTGGTCAAATATCATCACCCAGGGTCTCCTGGTTATGCAGTTGGTTAAAGGTTTTGATAATTTGAACCTGCGACCTTGGAACTAAGTCAAGGTCATTTATTTCAGGAAACTATAGCACTACATACCAGGTACCTATTGGCCAACTATCATTGCCAATGGCCTCCTGGTTTTTCAGAGGGAGTTGAAAGGCTTTTACATGTTATGCCTGTGACCTTGAAAGTTCTCATTTATTTGAGGAAATTTTATAACATCACATGTGTCTTGGTTATTCAGAAGAAGTCGTTCAAAGGTTTTAACACATTTGATCCCTGTGACCTTCAAAGTACGTCAAGGTCATCCATTTGAGGAAACATTACAGCACTCAGTCCCAGTTACTTACTGACCAAATATCATGACCCTAGGTCCTCCAGTTCTTAAGAAGTCATTGAAGGAAAAAGTTGATGGACGACAGATGATACACCATACCATAAGCACTTACCAGTAGTGCCAGATAAGCTAGAAATTACAACCATACCATAAGCACTTACCGGTAGTGCCAGATAAGCTAGAAATTACAACCATCTTTTCAGGATGTTGAAAGTGTTTTATTGGATTTTATTATTTATTTGAACAACCTGGAAATTCTGAACAGCCTTTTATCCTTGCAAAGCAAAGTTTTCAACACATTTGACCCCAGTAACCTTGTATATCTAGCTTGGCCCTTTACTATGTCTCCCCTTCGATTGAAGGGAGACATATTGTATTAGTACTGGTTCTTCTTTTTCCTGCTTCTTCTGGTTCTTCTAATCTGACTTGTCCGGGCCATAACTTTCAAACCATCAGTGATTTCTTGACGAAACTTGAGGTATGCATGCATCACCCACAGAAGGTGTGCAGTGCACTGGAATTAGGTCACTGTGACCTTCACCTCAAGGTCAAAGGTCAAATAAGTGCCAACATTTTGAGTAAATTCTTGTACGGCCCGTACATTTTAAACCGTTATATATCTTTATCAAACTTGAAGCATACCTGCATCACCCACAGAAGGTGTGCAGTGCACTGGAATTAGGTATTGTGTTATGACCCTTTGTTTAATTTTAATAGCGAAGTTTGTCCACAGCATAACTTCCATGTAGTTTGAATGTATCTTGGGAGGTAGGAGTGTCGTATTCTAAATTCGGGTCTCATGCCCCACTATAAAAAGAGATATACACTTTGTTATTTCATTATACCGAAGTTTGTCTATTGACTAATAAGGGGAGACATGTTCACAAAAACAAAATTATAGTTTAAACAGCCTTACCTAAATCCATTCATGTTGCAGGGCAAATATTTTGACTCCAAGTCTTGTGAATCTTAAGAAATTGGTTAATGTTTCGAACACAATTGACATATCACCACTCCTGGTCTAATGGCTAATTTGGAGTCATTTGAAGACTTTCACACCTGATCTTGGCCCAATACCTTAAATATGGATAAAGGTAATTATTTCAGTTAAGTGGATAGCCCTTCATTTGTACATCTTAATACCTGACCCCTGTTAATTGAATGTAAGTCAGTATTTTACTTAACATTGATAGCAAAATGTTGTATCCCTAGGTCTTATGCTTCTTCGGAATTTGTTGTAAAGAGAAAAGTTTTCACTAGTGACATGTAACGAGGTTCAGAGGTTCCTCTACATAGATCATGTTCACAGGCACTTTCTGCCAGGTGAGCTGCAAATCTTTGCATCAAATTGAAACTCGGTTTTCTCAAAGCTAAGGTTATTTTTTTCAAAATCAGGGTATGCAATAGCATAACCTCGTTTTTTTAATACCAGGTACACTGAATATAAGAACTTTCATTAAGTGTCTGAATTTCTAAAAAAATCCTTGCATTATACTTTTATAAACAAATGAATAGCAAACGTAAAATAATTTTTCAAAGAACAGCATGGCATAACTTGATTTTATGAACTGTTTAGGGAAACTTGAGCAGCGGCTGAAACTTGTTACATACGACACAAGTTTGACAGTACAAAACAAATAACAAAGAATCGTGTTCAGATGCTATATAAGACTTTAATGACATAACAAAATCACTCTATTAGCAGAGTTCCATTTAGCAGAGTTCATTGTGAAGCTCTATGATTATGCTTCATTTAACTTCCAAAAGATTTTGGGTTTGATTTAATCCTTATACACAAAATATATCGCAGAAAAAAATACTTGTTACAATAGGACATGGTCAATCAGACACGCACGTATATTGTTATAACTTGACATGGCTATACAGTTTTTAATTACACTTGAAAGGTGGAGATGGAATAAGTTGATTGTATTTACCAAAGTATTTTAAGACGTGTGTTATCACAGATAGGAAGAAATGTGAAAGGACTCTGAAACACCAAGAGAGTGTTTTATAATCAATTGTATGGCATCTTCAATATTTTTTAGAAATCAAGCAGATATATTCAACTAATAAGGTTTTCCACATGTAAAAGTGTTAGTTTAATATATTAAAATACAGAGAGATGAACTATATATTATTAAAACTACACAAATACATGTACATCAAAACACAGATACTGGGTAGGTTCAATAGTCAGTATGAGTCAGGATGGATATTTCATCCTAGATACAATTCATAGTCCTTAGATCTTTGTTGAAAGACACTTGCACAGAATCTGACATCCTGAAAGATTTTTAGATTTAAAACTTTTTTAAAAGGTTATGTTTCCTTCTGCCTTCCTGACAATTTCTGCAAAGCTCCTGGATATCTCAATTTTAAAATACATTTCAGAACTTTCAAACATTGATTGAGCCACACAAAACAAAAGAATTCTCACTTATATTTTCCCTAAAAGGATAAGATGATATTTGATTGTTTTAAAAATTACATATTTGCATGAAACACAAATTGAAAGACAAAAATTTGATGAGAAACTTAACATACAAAGAAAAGCATGATGTTAATGTCAAAATTTCAAAACATTTTTGGCTTAAAGAGATAAAAAGTTCAACATAGGATACACAGATTAGTCTGAAAAATAAGGCAAGCATACACTTCATCATTTAAATATACTGATGATATATTAAAACTGTAACACAGTTATTATTATAAAATTACAGCATACTGTAGAACATCATTAATCCAAACAACAATAATGTACGACACTCAATTTTTCAGAAACACATTGTAAAGTGGAGATTGTATAAAGTTGTAAGAACTTGTGCCCAATCCTTTTTGTCATTTTCAAGGCAATAAAAATATGTTTTAACCAAAGTGGAGATTCTTGTTTATTACATTCATCTTGAAAAAAATATATTACAGAAAACATGTAATGAAGAAACAATCCTTTTGATTGGATAGGCCAAAAATATCTTGTGTAACCTGTAGCACTCATAATTCAAAAGTATCCATTACTATTCACGTTACTTGAGGATAAACAAAAGTTGTTCGAGGTTAATGACGTTCCACTTGTGTCTTTGTAACTTCTGGAAAATGTTCATCTCATTCGAAACAATATTTAGAAAACGAAAAATTACTCTAGCTATTCTGTCTATTAACTACATGTATTAGTAAGTGATTTAAACAGAAATGAAACTGAGGATAAGAATTCAACTCCTGATCAATAAATGTTGTGTCAAAAATATATACCAGTGAATGCCTTTATACTGTCCCACGGTTAGTATGGTATGGTTATACAAATGGTACCAGGTCCATGCCTATATTATATATGAATGCATATGACCTCAGAAAAAAATCACAACAAAAGGCCAATAAGGTTCACATTTTATAGAAATGATCTGCATTTTTAATAAAAGAAGATATATTTATATCCAACAATCAACAAGTATTGTATTTACATTTCTGTTTAATACGGTAAACAAACAACGCTACAGTTGTAAGGTATCACAGGGTAGGATAGAAATTATTGTGTATAGTTGGTCAGCACCCAACGTCAGGTGCAGTGTCAGCCACGCCGCACACCTACATACGGTTGTACCTGCTGATGACAGTCCTGCAGTTAGGGCAGCTGTGGGCCACATCCTTGCAGCCATCCACACAGAATGGGATGAAGCAACAGCCAAGATCACATCTGTCAACACACAAAACAAAAACTTGATTAGGAAACCCATTAACAGAAGGACTATTTAAAGGGAGGCATGGCAACAGGAAAGCTACAGTAATTCAAAATGTAGAACGTTTGACCTGTTACCATGATAATGTATTGTGTCCTTTTATCAGCTATGGTCACTTAAGGACCTGCCAACATGTGTGTAATATTTGTGTATACTGGAGGTGCATATGTTGGTTTATTACCCTCCTTTTCATAGCACAGATTTGATGCCAACTTTAGAGAGCTACTTCACTGGAAAAAAACAACATACTAAAGGCAGTAAGCACAGTATTCTAGTCTACCCAGTCACAGTATACTAGTCTACCCAGTCACAGTATACTTGTCTACCCAGTCACCGTATACTAGTCTACCCAGTCGCCGTATACTAGTCTACCCAGTCACTGTATACTAGTCTACCCAGTCACTGTATACTAGTCTACCCAGTCACCGTATACTAGTCTGCCCAGTCACAGTATACTGGTCTCCCCAGTCACCGTATACTAGTCTGCCCAGTCACCGTATACTAGTCTGCCCAGTCACAGTATACTGGTCTCCCCAGTCACCGTATACTAGTCTACTCAGTCACAGTATACTGGTCTACCTAGTCACAGTATACTGGACTACCCAGTCACAGTATACTAGTCCACCCAGTCACAGTATACTAGTCAACCCAATCACAGTATACTAGTCTAGCCAGTCACAGTATACTAGTCTAACCAGTCGCAGTATACTGGTCTACCCAGTCACATTATACTAGTCTACCCAATCACAGTATACTAGTCTACCCAGTCACCGTATACTAGTCTGCCCAGTCACAGTATACTAGTCTGCCCAGTCACCGTATACTAGTCTACTCAGTCACAGTATACTAGTCTACCCAGTCACAGTATACTAGTCTACCCAGTCGCAGTATACTGGTCTACCTAGTCACAGTATACGGTAAACAAGTTGCCATGACCTTGTAAACAGTATGCATGCCCCAGGACGTCATGTCTATTTCACCTGGAAATTACCTTCTATGATCAACAAATCTACTGTACATGGTATCAATATGGCAAACAGAGGCCAACATGAGGTCAATGTGGTCTTATTCAATTACACAATTGATTCAAGTCAATTTCCAAGATATATCAAATATTTAAAGGTGTTGGTGACCTACTTTTAGTGGAAATAAAAATTTTTAACTGATCACAAGTGACAGAAATATTTCAGCAATCAGAGCATGGACATGTTTTATCAATAAGTTACAGATGACGAAAGACTAAAATCACTTCATCTGAACTGAAAGAACTGCTTGCTTATCAAAGACTCATTTTTGTGAACAAAACATATGATGTCTTCTCTAACTAGATAATATGTGCTTTGCACTTATTGCAACCGAGAGATAAAGGTCATGGTGACCTAAATAATGCACTGAACATGGTTTTCCAACTTTCACCAAGATATCTTCTATAGCTTTAAGTTTACACCCCACGAGAGTTTTGCAATTATTTTGACCTCTGATTAGAGGCTAGGGTCACTTTGACCTTATTAAAGTGAACATCTTCTGTGGGTGACACAGGTAAACTTCAGGTATAAAGATACCTTTACAACTTCAGTTCAGGAAATTTTAATAAAAAAAATGGTCATTTTCATTTTTGACCTTTGTCCAAGAGCTGGGAGTGAAAGTAACAGAGACCTAAATACAGTGTCAGGTTTCAAATGTTTTTTTACAAGATATTCCAGAGGGATCTTGGCATCTGCCATTTTAAGGCCCTCATTGGTTCTATGACAGTTTAATCTTTTCTCTGATCTGTTGGATTTAGTCATGTCAATAAGTGCATCTTATGGTAACTTAAGATCAAACCTCCATACTGCTGTAAACATTTGACCTATTTACTAGAATAGTAATGATTGTGTCAATAATAAGCTAAAATATAACTAAGAAACCTAGTCAAGAGTAGCCTCGATAGGAACGTCAAAATGTCCTCAGCACAAACAAAAAATATTTAACTGTCAAGTTCCTAGATGGCAACCTGGCAGCCATTTTTCTTTTTTTCTTTTTGTTTTTCTTTTTGTTTTCATCAGTCTTAAAATCAATGTACATAATTCAGTCTTAAAATCAATGTGCTTACTAAGTACTAAGAGTAACCTACTTGTAAAATTGGAGAAAGATCTGTCAAGAATTGTAATTTGTTGCAAAATGGATAGATAATGAACCATTGCCAGATAATTTGACAAGATTTCACATGAAAATTTGTTTTTTATTTGACTAGAGGTGAAGGTCAAGGCGACCTTATTACAGTGCAATGCACACCTTCTGTGGACAATACATCAAAATATCAGTTTACAGTCCAGACAAATATCAGTTTTAAAGTTACGGTCCAGACAAATATCAGTTTTAAAGTTACGGTCCAGACAAATACCAGTTTTTAAGTTACGGTCCAGACAAATATCAGTTTTAAAGTTACGGTCCAGACAAATATCAGTTTTAAAGTTACGGTCCAGATAAATATCAGTTTTAAAGTTTGTTTGTTTGTTTGATTTTGTTTAACGTCCTATTAACAGCTAAGGTCATTTAAGGACGGCCTCCCCTGTGTGCAAGATGCATGCGTGTAGTGCATGTGTGTTTATTTTGGGAGGCTGCGATATGGTCGTGTTTGTCTCCTTGTGATAGCGCGGAACTGATGCCGACTTTATAGTGCTACCTCACTGAAACATACTGCCGAAGACACCCAGCAGGACGCCCCACCCGGTCACATTATACTGACAACGGGTTAACCAGTCGTCCCACTCCTAATTTGCTGA